CCAAACCCAGATACATTCGAGTTCAGGGGGACAGGGATTTGGGAGATCAGCCTGGCTTGAATGTCAGAGTGCACATATACGGCCACTCCACCACCACGTTTATTGGACCTGCATTTGGAAAATAGGGTATAGTTGTTTATATTCAGGAATGCATTATCCATCATTGGTGTGTACCATGTCTCAGTGACAACTGCTATGCTAGCCTGCACTAGTTGTCTTAAAAGTCTTAAAAAAAGATAAATCCCTACCTACCAAACCTAATTTTTTTCAGGACTGAAACAGGAAACACAACATTTTTTCCCTAGGCCTATCGAACATTAATATCTAATATGATCTATTTTTACCTCTAACTACAGGCTATTATCATTATAACCATTATTATTTTCAGTATCATTTATAAAAGAAACAAATTTGTGCTTTTAATTCAAAGTGAGGAGGAAGCAAGATTTCCGACTGGAAAATTGGAATCGGACTATTACAGACTTTCCTCTTAACTGTTTCTATGTTTAGCTTCCTGTTTGACTTTGTTGTTGTTCAAATAGCAGAGGAACAATAACTGTGTGGGCTTGAAGCTTGACAAAGTCATCTGTAATATCCATGACTATTTTTACCTTCCTGCTAATTATTATCTAAGCTAACGAGAATTTAACGACCTATTTTCACCTATGTACTTATCCTGCAATCTCTTACTTCGTGTCACTGACGAAAGGTAGTGGATACTACCTGAAACGTCTGACCGTTTCCAAAATCATATCCAGCTGCTTGAGTAACTGTTTTTGGCATATCTTATTACCTGGAGGTCTAACCTTCACTCCAACATATTTTCACCTATTTTCATACCAGTATCTGTTTTTTCTGGTGGCCAAACTTCAGTGGCACGTGGATACTGTCTTGCCAGTTTGATTCTGTGTTGCCTTATTCAAAATTGTCTTGTAACCTGATTAAAAGATCTGCTTGGATAGTTGTGTGAAGTGTCTGTGCGATGTGTAGGTGGAAATAACAGGTGCAGACGTGACGACTAAACAAACACGTTGTCCCCAAACACGAACACGCTGAAGTGTTGACTGTTCAGGGAAGCAGCAGCAAGCCGTGCTGTTACCAGGTGTGCTGTGAGATTCTGAAGCCAATAACATCTGTGAAGTTTTTTTGTTTATACCACAAAACTGGTAAACTGTCTTAAGGCACAACATATTACTAGTTATGTCCAGTAAGTACAAGCTTGGATAAGTTTTGAGCCACTCACACTGGGAATTTGAAGTGGACTCATTTTCACCTGAGTTGAGTAAAGAAATGGATGTAAAGTGCCTTTTCTAAGGACATAACACCCAGAGGCCTGTCAGGGATTCGAACCCAGAACCTTCAGATTCTAAGTCAGCAACCCCAACCAGGTGCACAAGACCACCTTGTTTCTAACTGTTCATGACACGTAGGCCAGTTATGATCATTCACACCTGTCCAAGGGAGACCACTCAAACAAGGCAGAGATGGCAAACTTCACACCCTATTGTACCCAGAACCGTGCCTGTCTACTTCTATGCCTGAACGGGTAAGGGTTACTATCCAGAACTGTGCCTGAACATGGTTCGCAATAAAAGCATACTTCTGGATACATCACACCCTTCACAAATTGTAAATGTTAGGAAATAGCAGAAATTTGCAGACAGCCAAGCCGACAACTATATATTAACTTCACTCCCTCTAGACGCTATAAATCCACCTCAAACCAATATGAACAGGGAAATAGCAGGTTGTAAAAGGTGCCTAACCACACAACCACACACCACATGTCGTAAAAATACTTCCAGAGCTTAGTGACTTCTGCTGTCAAAAAGAATAAGTTACCAACAAACTGAAAATACCAAAAGCAAACCGTTGTAAAAGAAGGTACATGTACGTAGAATGTGGGCTTATATTTTTATATTAGGGCCTTTCTTTTCTATGCCGGTATCTTTTTTCACCAGTCAAACCTCAGTTGGCTTAACGTATTGGATACAGTCTTGCCTGACTTTTTATATTGTATATCCTTTTTTTTTTCAATGCAAGGCCTATACGACCACTTCTCGCCATTGAACTAGAAATATGAAAGAAACATGTCAAGAGATGGCAGTGAACGTTTGATTTGAAAGCCTGTAGATTGTAGCTAGGTTGGTGGGAAACACTTGTCATGATCAGAGAGGGAGTTTGATACTGTCTTGAAGCCACCGAAAGATCTGCTTGCAGATTATAAACTACTGGTTTTCTGAACTAACCGATACAATTATTATGTCACACATGTTGAGTTGTAGTAGAGAGTCCAGTGGTCGAAATACTTTTTTTCAGTGATCTGCAATATTGCAGAAGAGTCAAAGTTTTGTTCTGCAATTTGAAAATACTTTCTGCAAATACACAAGCCTCCATACTACAACCTTCTTTTTTATATCATATATAGCTTTGTAAATCTGTAGCATTACTGGAATTCTTTTAAGTTTAATTTATCACTCTTTTTAATTTCAGACTTAATAGATCCTTCTCCACAGAAATCATTTACTGGTATCTTCACGGGTCTTTCACCACTGTCTCCCACTACAAGCTACTACAACTAAAATCATTAGTTTAGCTCCTGTTGCTTCAAAACAGGAGCTTAAGTGTTATCTGTCCTTGGGGCCAGAGAGTTCTAGTTTGCTAAATTGAAAACTATTGAATCTGGAGCCAATTTTTCCTTCTGCAAAATTGCAGATTGTATAAATTTTTCTTCTGCAATCTTGAAAATCTATCTGCAGATTGCAGACTGCAGACAGGTATTTCGAACACTGGAGTCACTAATGACTCTCCACACAGCTTCATTTGTCTGAAGTGTGTATCAACGTCGCATCTCTGCTGTATTTTTAGCCCAGATGGCAGATGGAAGCCTCTCCACTGTCTTTTGTGTCGCGATATTTTTACCTGGATAGTTTAAAAATAGAGTAAACGTCTGCTAACATACAACGTAACAGGTCACATGTACCGGCCACACTTAACTGAAACGAGCATCTCCAGTGCCCCAGTAGTACACTCCTGTTTATCAGAACTGCGAATACCCAGGATTGATGCACTAGAGATCTCTCAGACACACTGTTTTTTGAAGTGATGTAATAAGCGCTGCTATGAAGTTTTTACCTGGAGGCTCTAATAATAGCACAAACGTCTGCTAACACAGTTTTAACATGGTCACGTGTAACCACCACACTTCAACACAAGCGTCTAAAGAGGTGCAACATGCCCCAGTATAGTACCTTGAGTCTCTGATAATAGCTTAAACGCCTGCTAACACAAGTTTAAACTCACTCTGTAATTTCCCACACCACAAATTGGACTCATCACCCAAATTTTCCAGTCTTTGTCAAGGAATGAGCAATCCACCGCTTCCGTGACGTCACGCAGATAACACACATGACTCCGTGAGCAGTGGATCATAGGTTGCAGAAAGTCTGTGGCGCCCCCTGTCTCTGTTGTCTCTGTTGTCTCTGTCAACTACTGTTGAGGAATGGTTGTAATGCTCTGATGTAGATGCCCCAGTATGATGCACTCCAGACCTGTGTATCAAAACTGGGCTGCATTGGAGATCTCCCAAACACAGTGTTTTGAAGTAATATATTTATATAATAAACATCATTGAGCCCTTCATTCCAACAGTTAAGGGAGATTTTTTTCTATCCTACCAAAGTAGCTCAGAGGCATTTGTTTTTTTTTTTAAATGTTGTTGTTATTTACATGTTGTTGTTGTTTCCAGCTTGTAGCGAATGCGGTGGTGTTCGTGTGTGCGAACATTGCGGGCGTGTTTACGCACTATCCGGCCGAAGTCGCGCAGAGACAAGCCTTAACAACACTTGTTGTTATTTAGATGTTGTTATTTACATGTTGTTTTGTTGTTGTTGTTTACACACAGCTTGTAGCGAATGCGGTGGTGTTCGTGTGCGCGAACATTGCGGGCGTGTTCACCCACTATCCGGCCGAAGTCGCACAGAGACAGGCCTTCCAGGAGACTCGAGGCTGCATCGAGGCCAGACTCATCACACAGAAGGAAAACCAGCAGCAGGTTCGTAACCTCTGATTCACAACTACTAGGAGAAAACTAGCAGCAGGTTCGGAGCCACTGATTCATAACTAATACTAACAGAAAACCAGCAGCAGATTCGTAACCTCTGATTTATAAAAATGATTTTAGCCTCTGTACACTTGGAGAAAACTAGCAGCAAGTTTGTAACTACTGATTCATAAACACTTCCTGGAGAAAACTAGCAGCAGGTTTGTAACTACTGATTCATAAACACTTCCTGGAGAAAACTAGCAGCAGGTTTTCAACTTTGGATTCAGCACCCTGGACAGGGCCAGGGGAAAACTAGCAGCAGGTTTGTAAGCACTGATTCAGCACCACGGTCAGGAGAAAACTAGTAGCAAGTTTATAACCACTGGTTCAGCACCATGGATAGGGGAAAACTAGCAGCAAGTTTGTAACCACAGATTCAGCACCACGGCCAGTGGAAAACTAGCAGCAAGTTTGTAACCACAGATTCAGCACCACGGCCAGGGGAAAACTAGCAGCAGGTTTGTAATCACTGATTCAGCACCATGGTCAGGAGAAAACTAGCAGCAGGTTTGTAAGCACTGATTCAGCACCACGGTCAGGAGAAAACTAGTAGCAAGTTTATAACCACTGATTCAGCACCATGGATAGGGGAAAACTAGTAGCAAGTTTGTAGCCACTGATTCAGCACCATGGATAGGGGAAAACTAGCAGCAGGTTTGTAACCAATGATTCAGCACCATGGTCAGGAGAAAACTAACAGCAGGTTTGTAACCACAGATTCAGCACCACGGCCAGGAGAAAACTAACAGCAGGTTTGTAACCACTGATTCAGCACCATGGCCAGGAGAAAACTAGCAGCAAGTTTGTAACCACAGATTCAGCACCACGGCCAGGGGAAAACTAGCAGCAGGTTTATAACCAATGATTCAGCACCATGGCCAGGAGAAAACTAGCAGCAGGTTTATAACCACTGATTCAGCCTCTGATGTTTCTTGTATTTCTGTCCCAACAGGAGAGACTTCTGTTGTCTGTGTTGCCGCGGCATGTTGCCATGGAGATGAAAGCCGATATCGCCGTCAAGCGGGAAGATATCCAGTTCCACAAGATCTACATCCAGAAACACGAGAACGTCAGGTATGTGGGTATCAAATTACAACCGGGGAATGAAACGTGAGAATGTCGAGTATTTTCCATCTATCAAATTACAGCCAGAAACTTGACAATGCCAGGTATGGTATCTAATTACAGCCAAAAACACGGGAATCTCATGTATTTTACATGTTTCAAATTACATCCAGGAACTTGAGAATGTCAGGTATGATATCAATTGACAGCCAATAACATGGGAATGCCAGTTATGATATCAAATTACATTCTGAAACACAAAAATGTCATGTATTGTACATGTACCAAATTGTACAGCAACACACGTCAAGAATTGGAAACTTTCAAGCTGTTTTAATTCGTTGCATCCTGCAGTAAAACCTCTTGTTTACGAGGTTCTGATGTTGTAATGTTATTTCTGATGTTGTTGTTGTTGTTTACAGCATCCTGTTTGCGGACATCGAGGGCTTCACCATGCTGTCCTCCCAGTGCACCGCCCAGGAGCTGGTTAAAACACTCAACGAGCTCTTCGCTCGATTCGACAAACTCGCAGCTGTGAGTAAACAAACAAATAAACAAAGTGATTTTGTTTACCTTCGCAGAAGGAAAAGATTATCATGAAAATTCATCTGTTTTGGTAGTATTACCTTTTTCTATGAAAGAAAATATTGTTTTTGGTCTGTTCATTCTTCCCTTCCAAACAAATGAGGTCAATGACCTGGACCAGACGTCTGTCACCATGGTAACTAGTGCTGTAGCAAAAACCATGTGGTGTTGGTTTACATTGCAAGTGGCAGGACAGAGTTGGAGGGGCTGGTCGTAATGGAATATGTATGTGTTTGAATAACAATAAACAGAGCAGTAGTTTGTTGGGCTAAACCATGTGAAGGTAAACAAGCATTTTTTCAAATTTTACCTTATTTCCCTATTTTGTTGTTCTGTAATTTAGGAGAACCACTGCCTGCGTATAAAGATCCTGGGCGACTGCTACTACTGCGTATCTGGGCTGCCGGAGCCGCGGCCTGACCACGCCCACTGCTGTGTGGAGATGGGACTGGACATGATCGACACCATCGCGTGAGTACCCCGTTACCATGGCAACGGTATGCCGTTACCATGGCAATGTCCGAAACTGAACATTGTTGGAACTTACGTTCTAAAGTACATGTACATATATGTGATTGCTCTGTCTATTAGGGATAAACTTATCAAGAGTTAAGGAGACACAATAACAGTTAATCAGGCAACTGGATAGGTTTTGAAAACTGTCAGACGTTTCAAGTAGCATCCACAGCTTTTTGTCAGTGACTATAACGGAATCTGTAGTTGAACAGGTATTCGTCCAAAAACTATGAATATATATGTAAAAAAAATAGGTGAAGACAAAATGGTCCATAGGAAAAAATATGTACATGTACTGATGTAGTACTTCTGACACACGTGTATATGTAATACAGGTGTATACAGAATGTATTACACAGCTGTACTATAGTATTACACCCACACACATTATAGACACGTGACTGGGTTCTGTGAATAAGACACGGCGGATATTTTTAGACCATTTTATAATATCACCAGGGCCTATAATATCACCACCTTGAGGAAAAGTGTGCTTAAACTTTAAGTTAAAGATATTTTTACTGCAACATACCCTAGGTATGTACATTTGAGGTGTGCAGGAGTGCATACCAAAAGTATGTTGCAGTAAAAATATCTTTAAACACACTGTTTCTCAAGGTGGCGATATTATGGACCCTGGTGATATTATGGACACAGATGTTATGTATTGCAGAGGTGTATTGTGTATTACACAGCAGTATTCTTATTACACCCACACACATTATAGACACGTGATTCGGTTCTGTGAAAAAGACATGGCGGATATTTTTAGGTCAGCTTCTCGGAAAAGCGAGGGTGGAGATTACGGGAACAGATACCTGAAGGTCGAGGCAGCTAGAGGAAGGTCACTTGGGAGGAAGGTCATTTGGGAGAAATGGTAGAAAAATAGAACCAAATTTAAACTGGAATTGGTGACCCAAGAGTAAGATTTTGTGGTTTAAGAATTTATAGTAAAAGAACTTCCATATGACTGAAAACATAACAATGATATTTTTCACAGAGGTTACTTTTTTAGGTGTTGCAAAAATGACAGATATTAGAAAAATATAATCAAATGTCTTCAACTGGAGAAGATGTGACCCAAGAATAAGACATGATGTTATAGATTTAAGAACTTCCATATGGCTCTTAGACATCACAACTGTGCTATTTCTGACAGAAGTTGCTTTTTTGGGGTGTTGCAGAAATGAACTGGGATGTCGTTTGTCCCAAAAAGGAGATGAGAGTTTATTTTAACCTAAATGTAGACCTGAAGCAAAGTCCAATCTGTTTCTAAGTAGGTTATTGTCAGAGTGAAGCGAAGGCCAGTTGGCTATTTTTGAATAGTACATTTTATACTCAGTCGGTGAAGGTTTGACATCCAGGTACTAGTAATAAGGTACGCCAAAAAGCAGTTACTCAAACAACTGGATATGATTTTGAAAATCATATCCAGTTGCTTGAGTAACTGCTTTTTGGTATTTCATACTAGGTATGGGCACATTATAGTCATTCATAAGGAACAGTTAGTTCAGAAAAGGGCACCTTTAATACTTTCTTTTCTGTTATCTGCAACATTGCAAGTTGTGTTTAGGTATATGTAATTATACTGACGATAAACTGGACAGTGAGTGAGAGTGAGTGACTGAATGTTGTGTGTAAGAGAGTGAGTGAGTGAGTGAGTGAGTGAGTGAAAGAGGAAACTAACTCCCATGTTCTCCCTACAGAGTTGTCCGTGAGGTGACTGGAGTGAACGTGAACATGCGTGTTGGGATCCACTCCGGGCGCGTGCACTGCGGCGTGCTCGGCCTGCGAAAGTGGCAGTTTGACGTCTGGAGCAATGACGTGACGCTCGCCAACACCATGGAGGCCGGAGGGAAAGCTGGGTATGTTTCTGTTTATTTGTTTCTTTATGTCTCTTGACGTTACCCTGGAAAAAAAAACATGGAGTTGTGTTAACCCTGTCAGGGGCTGTGTTAATGTGGGGATAATCAAAATGAACTTACTCACAAGGAAGAATTACTGATTAAGTCACTGGGTGAATCATACCTACTGATCCATAGCCTCTGACCTGGGGTTCATGACCTGTGACCTTTGCCCCCTGCAGGCGTGTGCACATCACCAAGGCGACGCTGGACTACCTGAATGGGGATTACGAGGTCGAGCCGGGTCACGGCGGCGAGCGGAACAACTACCTGCGCGACCACAACATCGAGACGTACCTCATCAAGGCACAGCACCCCCGCAAGGTGAGCCACCTCCGACCCCTGACCTGTGACCTGGCCATGCTAACCCCAACCTGTGACCTCTGACCAGTTCATGCTAACCCCCGACCTGTGACCTCTGACCAGGCCATACTAACCTGTGATCTCTGACCGGGACATTCTGACCTGTGACCCCCGACCTTGCCATGCTAACTCCTGACCTGTGACCTCTGACCAGGCCACGCTAACCTGATTACCTGGCTCACAGATTTGTTCCCCAAATCTGTAACTGTTGTGAACCCTGTGGTCTTCGTTCTGTAACATTGTGTCAAGTCAGGAGTAGTAATTCCATTGTACTAGTCATTAGATTTTTTTGCAGTGTAAGACTAGAATGTGTGTTTCCAGTTTGACACAGTAGAATCTGTGACCGTGTTGTGTAGTTAGGTTGGTGTGGCCCCAGGCTGCATGTGTCTGACTTATGCATGGCGCTTCGTGACGATGTAAAATTTGGTTCCAGACGCCAGATTTTGGGGGTTTCTTTCGCCTCACGCCCGGATCCACTGAAAGTGTGAGGGGAAGTGCGAACAAGGCAAGTCACAATATCTTATCTAACAAGAAATAAACAAATAGATAAGGACAAGGCAAGTCATATTTAACTGTTTTTTCCAGTTGCTCATACATAAGTCTTGACTAGGTCTGTTTGTAGTTCAATTTAGGGACATTGAAGAAGAGTGATGGACGTCACTCAAAGTGTCTCCTTCTCTCACCAGTGCCTTTAACCTAAGCCTGCTAAGACAGCCAAATTTGTTCTGGGTTTTGACAGCAGGGAGAAGGTTAATAACAGCCACGGTTTCAGCACTAGGGACAGGGCATTAACCCTCAGCCTGCTAAGGTAGCCCTTTGACACCAAAGATGTATTGGTTTAGGCAGCAGGGAAAAGGTTAAAATACTGCCCAGGATATTTGATACAAACCTAGAGGTTAGAAGTCTTTTGCCCTTTGCCACAGAAGATGATTGACACGATGACCTTTTGCCTTTGCCCTTTGGCACAGAAGATGATTGACACGATGACCTTTTGCCTTTGCCCTTTGGCACAGAAGATGATTGACACAATGACCTTTTGCCTTTGCCCTTTGCCACAGAAGATGATTGACACAGTGACCTTTTGCCTTTGCCCTCTGCCACAGAAGATGATTGACACAATGACCTTTCCCCTTTGCCCTCTGCCACAGAAGATGATTGACACGATGAACTCTCCCCTCCTGACCCCGAGTAACCGGCGGCGGGAGAGCATCGACCGTAACCGGAGCTCGAGCGTCGCGCAGCTGGACTCATGGGGCGCCGAGAAACCCTTCAGCAACATCATCCCCAACCTCAGCAAGGAGATGAAAACCATGGTAACAAACTCTGACCTTATATCCATGGAAACCAACTTAAACCTAAGGTCCCAAATCTCTCCAAGCAGATGAAAACAAATTTTTCTGAAGTTGATGCTGTAATTTTGCAAGTGACTTCTGAGAAGTTGTCCAGTCTAATACAAACATGAACCTGGTGTCAGCTAGAAAAGATCATCCACTAACATAAGAGCCAAAGAAAGCTGAAATCCATCTGCAGTGTTGTTTTGATCAGTTATTTCCTGACGTCTATCCGTCTTCTGTTGCCAGGGTTACGTTGACCAGGACGGGTTGCCGAGAAACGGGCAGGGAAACATCAACAACAAGTAAGGCTGTTTGTTTGTTTGTTTACCTTTTTCTGGCAGATGTGAGAAAAATTGTTGCAAAATTCAACAAAATGGACACATTGAATGTATCAACTCTAAACAGTGAGCTGTGGCATAGTAAGCTGCCTATTTGATACTGTCTTGCCAGTTTGTTACTGTCTTGTAGCCACCAAAAGATCAGCTTGGAGATTATGTTTTCCCAAATAAGGGCTAACACTGAGCCCTATCTCATGTTTGCATCTGGGATATAAGAGTTTTATTCAACACAACCAAATATTCATACCGTTTTTCCATTTCGTTTGATGTTTTGGTGTCTATCAGTTGCGTAGAAGAAAACCCTTACGGTATATGCTATACTTTACCGACCTGACGAATCTATTTTCGGAAGATGTTTGGCCACACCAATTTAATTTGTTGGTTCTTGGATTCGCCTCTTCGTTTTTTTCTGATTTGCAAAAAAAAAAAATTGATTCTGGTCCTGAATCAACTGAAAAATGCTCATGTTTTGCCCCCCAACAGTTGAGGAAAGTCCTTTTCTTCCTAGTTGTTACAGTTTTCCCATCTATCATTGCAGTGGTTTGATTAAAAGTTCAAAATTCAATGTTTAAATTTTAACCCAGCCTTTTGTGTAGACTTCATGGCTCATTTTGTAGCATTTAAGCCTATAATAGGATGCCTAGACCTGTTTTTATTTATTTTTTTTTCGCCCTGTCGCTTCATATTTTTTCTGAAAAAATCCGAGAACCAACAAATTAAATTGGTGTGGCCTTTGCACCTGTTCATGAAGCTTACAGAAATCAGATTTAGGAGATTTTCTTTGCCAAAAGCTGATTTTCTGGTCATCCAATTATTGCTAATGAATTGTTTATGTGTGTTTCAGCTTTGTAATGCTTAACTCAGCTACAAATAATGGAGTAATTACTGAATGTTGACAAAATAATTGCAGCTGTGTGCCAAATTTTCGACTTCTCAAGGATGTAGCTAGTACATATTTGTGCAGGGTTACCTAAGTACAGAAAAATAAAAGATACACTTGTACACTAGTATACAGCTTATTTTTGACAGAAAAAACAATTTAAGAACAAAAATAATTTACAAGTTAATAGAATTTCAGATTCAACTTCTGAAGAGAGGCAGTAAGGTTTGTCATTAGGTTTTATCTTGAGTTTTGCACCCAAATTAAAGTATTTTTTGTGCACCTTAATTTGTAGGTTTGGCACACCAACCCAACTTATTCCCAAAAATGAGTTTTTATGTTGTAAGTCTGTAGTTTTCACTGTAGTTTCTCACTATTAAATGTTCAACTGCACTTTTTGACCTTTTCTGTTGTTGTCTTACAGGCAAGCACACATGTAAGTTCAACTCTTCTACTTTTATGTTTCAGATATACTTAGAAGATAATAAATTTGATGTTTTCTAGAAAAAGAGTATTGAAACTTTATTTCAATATGCACCGATGCACCGTTGAATGATTTCTGTGTAGTGAAGTTTGGTTTCTTACTGCTTTGCATAGAATTATAAGTTTTTGGGTCAGACTGTATGGGACAGTTTTTTGCATGGTTGTTTTGCAGGTTTGCTGTGTTTGGGTGTTGTTTTGTTGTGTTGTTTAGTTGTTGTTCTGTCTGTTGTGTTATTTAGCTGTTTGTTGTGTTGTGAGCTTTAGATTCAGTTTTGTTGTTTGTATTTGTTGGTGAAGAAATCCAGGTAATAAGATATGCCAAAAAAAACAGTTACTCAATAAAATTTTGTTTCCTTTTGGATTTCCAAAAATTTTGCAGAATTATCAATAAACAGTCCATACTTATAAACCTGCATTTCTGACAACTCTCCAGTGTCACTGATGAAAGGTAGTGGATGCTACCTGAAACGTCTGACCGTTTCCAAAATGATATCCAGTTGCTTGAGTAACTGTTTTTTGGCATATGTTGTTTGTATTTTTGAGTGAACCTGCATGCCTCCCATATTCACACTGATGACATCATTGATGACATCATTCCTCTCAACCAATCACAGACTAGGCCTGGGGTTCGATACGCGCCAGGAGCCGCAGAGTCCCGACGACGAAGTGAACGAGTTTCTGTCACGAGCGATCGATGCACGAAGCATCGACCGTCTTCGCTCCGATCACGTCAAGAAGTTCTTCCTCACCTTCCGCAAACCTGAGCTCGAGGAAAAGGTGAGACGTTTGTTTGTTTGTTTGTTTGTGAGTTTCTCTCTCGGGCGATCGACGCGCGGTGACTGGTGTTGGGTTACAATATGTTGCAATTTCATGGTCTGCTCTGCTCCTGTCATCATATACTAGTAGTACATGTATGTGAATGTGTTTGAGTAAGAATTAACAGAGCAGACCATGTCCGAAGGTAAACATTATGCATTTGCTTTGCAAATGTTACTTCTCTAGACTAGTTATTATTTATTGTACAGTTGTTTATTGTTTACAGTACATGATGGTTCGTGACCACATGTTCAAGTCGTACATGGGCTGTTGTTTATTGTTTAGTGTTGTTATTTATTATTGTTGTTTATTGTTATTTATTGTTGTTTACAGTACATGATGGTACGTGACCACATGTTCAAGTCGTACATGGGCTGTGCTTTTACCATGTTCCTGTTCATCTGCTTCACTCAACTCATCATCATCCCGCAGTAAGTACCCAACACCCCTATTCTGCAGTGGGATCTTCGTGCTGAACATGTACTAAATATGGACTGTACCATGAACCTTAAGGTAATAGGGGTAGCTATCTGCAATGTTGACAAACATTTTATAGAAGAACTGAACACTCCTACTCTGCAGTGGGATCACCCAGCTCAACATGTGCTGAATATGGACTGTTCCATCAACCTTTAGATAATAGGGGTGACTATTTTTCTGCAGACAAATTTTAGTGTAAGAAATGAGCACCCCTTCTCTGTAGTAGGATCACCCTACCAAGTCTCTGCTTAATATGGACTATTCCATCAACTTTAAGATAATAGGGGTGACTGATTATCTGCAAACAAATTTTAGACGTGTAAGAACTGAACACCCCTGCTGTGCAGTGGGATCACCCAACTGATAAATAAAGAATTAAAAAATTATAGAATTATTATAGTTACTATATTATAACATGAAGTATTCTGACGAGTTTGTGCTGTTGTGTTGACAGCTCGTTCCTGATGCTGACCGTGTTCCTGGGAGGGTTTGTCCTTGTGCTGTTCCTGCTGTTCCTGGCTGTCAGCGAGAGCATCAGGGTGAGTCAGCTAAGTAAACACTACAGCATGCTTCATTCACTAAACTACAACTGGGACGGTATTACTGTTCTTGTATTGTCTGTGGCTGTCATTGAGTGCATCAGGTTAGATGTTGACACTTAGAGAGGGAGTGTCACTCACAGCAATGTCTTCTTGTAATTGATGACTGTGAGTTATGTTGAGTTCAACATTAAATAGCAAAGGCGGTTATGTAAAGGTAGTAGTAAAGCACCAGTAACAATGCTTACTCTCAAATATTGATGATTCATTCCTACTTTCTTTCTCTTTCTTTCTCATTCATTCATTCTTTGTTTAGTTGCTGCCGCGCTGCCTGGTGAGATTATCCTCCATGATCGGGGAAAGCCGGATGAAGAGCAACCTGCTGGGAATCTTCACTGTCCTCATCATCTGGGGCGTGGCCTTCGTCACCATGGTAACAGCCACTCTCCATCTGTTCTGAAATACAACATTTAAATAGATTAATACTTGCCTTTGGTTTGTAAGTTGCATTGATGAAGGTCCTGCTAATGAAATAAGCATGAAAACAGTCACTGAAGCAGCTGGATAGATTTTGAATATCTCAAAAGTTTTCAGTTAATCGAGGAACTGTGTTCTTGTTTACAAATTTTAGTGATTATTCCATGATGTACGTCGGGCAAATTTGAGGCATTACTGGTGAGAAAACCATAACTTAAGATTTTTAGTGACAGAATCATTGCTTCTTTAGGCTGCTCAGTTCAGGACTTGTTCAGCAGATGTCACCATGGCAACGGTTATTTTTGAGAAGTTACCATGGTAACCACCAGTTATTGAGCATCGCCATGGTAACCACACACCAGGAGCATGATGGGAAAGGCAAGAAGGGTGTAGACTTGGTGGCTTAGCCGGGGGTTTAGGGAAAGCTGCATGGGCAGAGGGTGTGCAAGGGGTTTAGGGAAACCTGCCCAAGGTAGAGGGGGTGTCACAAAATGACACTTGACACCAGTAACAAACTGTTGCTTTACTTTTGACAACTTTGTCGCTATGGTGTAGCATCATATATTCTACAACTGCCTCATACAAGCACAGACTCACAGTTGCTTTGCTGTAGACTCACTGCAAGGGTAAAATTTTTTTATACCAGTCCCACACAATTGCTTTCACACACACCTTTCTGGTCAGTTTAGTTGTCCCCTTTAGTTTCTCCTTCAAGGTTGTACAAGACCTGGTGTTTGAAACAACGATGGTTGTTCTTTACAACAGTAATTTGACCTTGCCCCCTCCCCCAGTTCTCGTGTGACCTTGAGAACGTGCAGGAGTGCGTTGCGCAGAAGCTGAACGTGTCGACTGCGGAGATGAACATTTCCCTGATCCGCGGGGAGGGACTCGACCTTGGGCTGGAGGAGTTCCACAGAAACTACAGCAGCAGCTACTGCAGTGTCATGCAGCAGGAATGCCACTTTCCTGAGGTAAGGGGGAGGGGAGGGAGAGAGGGAGGGAGAGAAGGAAAGAGGAAAGAGGGAGAGAGTGTCTGTGAGTGAGTGTGTGAGTGAGTGTGTGAGTGAGTGAGTGAGTGGGAGTGAAGGAGGGAGGCAGGGTGTGAGTAAGGGAGGGAAGGAGGGAGGAATTCCACAGAAAGTTTAATTTTGTTGTTTGTTGCAAAATGTCCTGATTATCATAACAGAAGTCATAAGAAGAAAAGGTTGATGAAATATTCAGAAGAGATTGTATAGATAACAGCTGTATCATGCTGGGAAAGTTGTTTTTTTATATTGCAGTTGAGTTTATGTTCCAGACGTTCAGTAATGTTTGTTTGTTTGTTTGTTTCAGTACTTCACGTTCAGTGTGCTCCTGGGCATGCTCAGCTGCGCCGTGTTCCTCCAGATCAGCTCCATCGCGAAGCTGGCGATTCTGACGCTGATGGCGGCCGTCTACATCACGCTGGTCGAGGTTCTGGCTGTCAACCTGTTCGACAACCATGATCTGCTCCTGCAGGCCCACCACGGGTCAGTAGGGGGAGCTTTTTACCTTCTTTTTACATTTTCGTTGGCGTCTGTGTGTGTGTGTGTGTGTGTGTGTGCGTGTGCGTGTGTGTGTGTGTGTGTGTGTAATTTAAACGAGGATAACTCAAGAAAAGGTGGATTGTCATGAAACTTTGTAGGTGGGTACGTCTTCATGAGACCTTAGAAATGGTGATTTTGGGGCCCTGGCGGCTTGTCATGGTACTGCAGTGGAACTTCTAGTTTTGATATCTCATGGCATCATGGTGGCTGTCTACATCATGATCTGCTGCTGCAGGCCCACCACAGGACAGTAGGGGGAGCTTCTGTACAGTGTTGTGTTGCTTGCTCGCTAGGTAGACAGTACAATGATTACCTTTGCCCATAGAAGCCTATGATTATGTTTACCTTTGCAGAAGGAAAACATATTGTTTTTGCTCTGTTTCTTGTTCCTCTTCTTCTTTCGTTCCAAACAAATAAGGTCAGTGACCTGAACCAGACATCTGTCACCATGGTAACTGGTGTTAGGTTACATAATGCTGCAAGTGCCATGCAGTGTGTTTGAGTACGACTAAACAAAGCAGTGGCTTGTTAACCATGAAAAGGTGAACATAATGTATGATGAAAGGGCAGCCATGTTGATGACCTCTGTCTGACCTTGTGTGTCTCCCCTGTACAGTAACGCTGTGCCCTTGACGGTGGGTCTGAAGGTCGTGACCCCGGTGGTGATCGCCGTGTTCCTGATCGCGCTGGTTCTGCATGCTCAGCAGGTGGAGTCTACGGCTCGGCTGGACTTCCTCTGGAAACTGCAGGTGACTAAAAAACAGGCAAATAGTCTAACACAAGCACACACAAACACAAACACACATTCATGCACACGCACACACGTGCATGTGCACACACACAAAAGACACACACAAACACACACACACAGACACACGACAGACACGTGCACACACACACAGACACACACGCGCGACAGACACACACACGCACACAGACACACACACACACATAAACAAAGAGCTCAAAGCTTCTTTTTTTTCTACCCCCAGGCCACAGAGGAGAAAGAGGAAATGGACAATCTCCGGACGTACAACAAGAAGCTGCTGAACAACATCCTCCCGGAACACGTGGCCGACCACTTCCTCAAGCAGGACCGCAGGTTGGCAGTTTATTCACTATTTATCATGTATTAAGTTTGTTCCGTGGATACTTTCAACAGGTTGGTAAGACACTGAGTAAAGAGACTGTTTTTAGTAAAAAATACACAACCAAGTCTTTTATTCAGCTGACATTTCGGTGACCATCCGTCACCTTCCTCAGGGCAATTCTGACTGGTTCACATTGCACTGCAGCACAGGTGTCACTGCTATAGATTTTTGTCGTTTTGTATTAATTTTGTTGTTTTGTATAACCTGTCCCCCCCCTCAACCTTCTTGACCTTGTGCCCGTCTTGGCTGAACAAGCATTCGAGAATAAAGAATGGAAGTTCATCTGTGTTGGTAGTTACATGTTTAAAGTTATCCTTAAGATCCAACACAAAAAGTTCTCTCACCTAGAGCTTTCGACCAGTCACTCTGGTCTTCCTCAGTAGACTGCCCCAGTGAGGCTTGTCATATGAAGTGTGACATCAACACTGGGTCAAATGAAAGAATGGTATTCATTCATTCATTCATTCATTCATTCATTCTTTCTTTCTTTCTTTGAATGTATGAAAGAAAGAAAGAAACATTCATTCATACATTCATTCGTTCATTCTTTCATTCCTTCCTTCCTTCAGGAACGAGGAGCTTTACCACCAGAGCTGCGAGTGTGTCTCCGTCCTCTTCGCCTCCATCACAAACTTCTCCGAGTTCTACCAGGAGCTCGAGGGAAACAACGAGGGGGTCGAGTGTCTCAGGCTGCTCAACGAGATCATCGCAGACTTTGATGAGGTATGAAAGGACCGTTCTTATTCTGTGCTTATAGGAAAGGCATTGTAGAGTGGCTCAATAGGAGGCTTTTCATCATATTTCTTCCTGGCGGACGATCAGTTCACTGATGTTTGTTGGCCCGGCGGTGTGCAGCTAACCCAGCCCTGCTTTTGATCTGCAGGGCTTGTTGCAGGTCGCACACATGAAGACCTTGATGTATGACTGTATGAGTGAACACATTGGCGAGGTATAGTGGTGACAGGTTGCCATAATGGCTTTTACCAGAGGAAAAAAGAGTGATGAATGTCTCAGGCTGCTGAACCCTGTGGTGTTGGATTACATTATTTAGCAAGTGGCAGGACAGAGTTGGGAGGGCTGGAAAGACAATCTCAAACAGGGAAATATGATTGTCGAGGTTGTCGAGTTGGAAAAGGGCAAACCTTGGACTGTACTTATTTTCTTATCCTCTTCATCCCACCATTCTGTTGTCGTTCATTCTTAGTACAAAGCCAAGCCTGTAGGAAGATACAACTTGTATGTGTGCCTAACAGATGTGTGTGTTTCACAGGTCCTGGGTGAGGAGCAGTTTTCCAGCCTGGGGAAGATAAAGACGATCGGCAGCACCTACATGGGTTAGGTCTGGGTAAGGGGGCGAAGTCTGCCATCCCTGATTTCTCCTATTGTTTCACAGATCCTTGGAGAGGAACAGTTTTCCAGCCTGGAGAAGATAAAGACAATCGGCAGCACCTACATGGCGGCGTCCGGCCTGACGGAGAAGACCTGCGACCTGGACCACAAGGCGCACGTTCTCGCACTGTCCAACTTCGCCATGCGGCTCATGGACCAGATCCAGTACATCAACGAGCATTCCTTTAACAACTTCAAACTCAGAATAGGTAGGTTTGTTTGTTTGTTTCTTTCTTCCTTTGGGTAGGGGAAATTCAACAACTTCGAATACGAAATTTATGTTCACCTTAAAATTTGCTCTGTTTCTTCTTCTTTTTATTTTTTCCCTTCCAAATAAATAAGATCAATGACCTAGGCCAGACAGCTGTCACCATGGTAACTGGTGCTCTAGCAGACACCCTGTGGTGTTGGGTTACATTATGTAGCAAGTGGCAGGAGAGAGTCGGAGGGTCACAATGTATATGAATGTGTAAAAGTAAACTGAGCAGTATTTTGTTGGGCTAGACCATGTGACGGTAAACTTGCTCAGTTTGCAAATATTACCTTTCTAGTTATGACTTGTTTGTTTGTTTGTTTGTTTGTTTAGGTCTGAACGTGGGCGTGTGCGTTGCCGTGGTGATCATGGTTCATGACTGACTTGTTTGTTTGTTTGTTTGTTTAGGTCTGAACGTGGGCGTGTGCGTTGCCGGGGTGATCGGAGCCCGGAAGCCGCAGTACGACATCTGGGGAAACACAGTCAACGTGGCGAGCCGCATGGACAGCACAGGGGTGCCGAATAGAATACAGGTGAGCACTTTCACTTGCACAGGTGTGCACTTTCACTTGCACAGGGGTGCCCAACAGAATACAGGTAACCACTTTCACTTGCACAGGCGTGCCCAACAGAATACAGGTAACCACTTTCACTTGCACAGGGGTGCCCAACAGAATGTCAGGTAACTTTCACTTGCACAGGTAAACACTTTCACTTGTACAGGTAACAACTTTCACCTGCACAGGGGTGCCCAACAGAATACAGGTAACTTTCACCTGCACAGGGGTGCCCAACAGAATACACTAACTTTCACTTGCACAGGGGTGCCCAACAGAATACAGGTAACTTTCACTTGCACAGGTAACCACTGTCACTTGGCAATGCACAGGTAACCACTTTCACTTGCACAGGTAACCACTTTCACTTGCACAGGTAACCACTTTCACTTGCACAGGTAACCACTTTCACTTGCACAGGTAACCACTTTCACTTGTACAGGTAACCACTTTCACTTGCACAGGTAACCACTTTCACTTGCACAGGTAACCACTTTCACTTGCACAGGTAACCACTTTCACTTACACAGGTAACCACTTTCACTTGAACAGGTGTTCTCAATTTAGATATACAAGATAAAAACAAAAAAAGTCTTCATATCAGCATCTTAAAGAAGGGTAAGATGTTTCACATGCATTAGACAATCCTTAACAGGAGCTGCCACTTTCTTGTTACTCACTTGAGAACGTTGCCGCTTCCTCCCAGGTCACCCAAGACGTCTACAAGATTCTCAGTGCCAAGGGTTACGACCTGGAGTGCCGAGGGGTCATCAAGGTCAAGGGCAAGGGCGAGATGCTGACCTACTTCCTGAACAAGGGACCAGCTGACCTTTCACCCTCCTCAGGTCGCACCAGGGCCAACCCCAGCTAGGGGCAAAGGGCAAAGGGCAGCCAATAGGGCCAAAGGTCACGCTGAAGCATCCTTAAAGGTTACTTGGTACATTTCACACCTGTATATTACCTTATATGGTCAATATAACCTTATATGGTCATCTGACTACACTAGTCAGTGTTAGTGGTAGCTGCAGATATTATTTATTCTCAGTTTTGATGTTCTTTTGTAGATTTCAGGTTGAATCTCTACTGGGGCTTGTAAAGCCTCATTAGGCACCAGGTCTATTTAATTAAGCAGTCACTAACGATGTATTTATGTACAATAAGAGGCTATGGTTGTAATCTGTATTTATCACACACGATGTGCAGTCGCCCCCCCCACACACACACATGCAGCAAATTCTGCTGGTTTCCATGGTAACTGGTAATCTGATAGGCGGGAGTCATGACTCGGGCTGGCAAATGGTCGGATCTGATTGGCTGAGGACACTAATGACATCACAGAGCTTGTAAGTGACAACAGCTGAAATATCCAAAACCAGCCAGTCAGAGTTTGTGTTATAATCCCTGCAAAAGTCGCCAGAAAGTATTTTTTAGCTCACCTGTCAGCACCTTTCACCTGTACACACCTGTGCAGGTAACTTTCACTTTAATTGGTTCCTACCACCACATCCGTGCAAACTTCCTTCAACGACGTCTTAGTCGCAGGCAACTTTTACTTTTCAATTCTCCACTTCTGGGTCAAAGTTCACGGGAAACTGAGATTACAACAATGCAGTTCATAATAGTCTTGTTGCCACGGTAACACAGTATGCATGTAAATATGTATAAAAAGAAAAGGAGAGGATCTGCCAGATTTGTGCGTTGGTGTCGGATAATGTATAGTGGTTGTTGCGATGGTTCATGTTGCTTTCGTGTAACAAAGTTGTAGGTATGTAGCAGATTCATGTACATTATAAATGTGTCAATTATACACAGAAGATTTGTGTGCACCAACTACATAATATAAAATATGTCTGTCTTGTTGACTTTAAATATGAATTCTGAGTGAATGTTAAATGGGGAGATTTATAAAGAATGTAAGAAAAATGCTGGGATTAAAAAATGGCCAGGCAAAAAACTACTTGGGAGAAGGGAGGCTAGAAAAAAGATGGTCCCAAAGTATTTTGTGATGCACCCCTACTTTTGAAATGGAACGATCTATTAACCTTTACCCCTCCCTCGTGGTGTCAGGTTTCGTCTCCCCTGTTGTACAGCCAATGAACAAGCCAGGAGCACAGCAGTGTGGTTTATATATACATGCTGTATATACTAGTTTCTACATGCCTCCACACCAATGTGTATTGTGCAGTGCGTACTCTACTACTTGTTGCAATGTTGACTGCCTGTCTCTGCCAAGACTTAAAGATGTGAAAGTTTGTTGTACTTAAAGATGTCAGCATGGGGCAAGGGGACTGGGATGCACATGTCAGTGACAACCCTCGGGATTGTGCGGGTGTGCATGGGGGTTTACCCGCTTCTTTTAACGTTGAAGACATATTTGGAGCTCCCATTACCAGTTAAAATTTTTTTAGGGGGACTTAAGAATACAGCTAATGGATTTTCAGTACAGGAACAAGCAGTAAGAAGACAAAGAAATTTTTGTTGTATCCCCTTGTTTTGAATGGAGGAGTTAGCAGTCATAAATGTTCCAAACTTTGAGGTGATCATTTTTGTTTACATTTAAGCCTCTGAATTAGATGCCTTTACTTCAACCCCTACACCTACCCCCCACCCCCTCTGGGGTTCACACTGACATGTGCATAGGCCAAAGTTCTCTGTCCAGAATCATTCTTGATGCAGTGAAATATGGAATATTATTCCAGTGAAAGTAGATGAAAGTATTTTTGTATGCAATTGTATGAATGTGATATAATGATAATGCAGTATTGTGATACTATTTAATGTGACGCACCTTAAGGTAGGTAGCTTTACCTGTCTGTGATCAGTCCTGTCAACACACCTGTTTTCTCACCTGGGCTACAAAAGTCTTAAAGATTCATGTTAAGAGTGAAAACTTTTCTTAAAGGCCACACTAATTTAGTTCCTGGGTTCTCAGATGTTTGAAAATAAGTCTGAAGCAAAATGGAAATTTGAAAATTGCCTTTTCACACTTCCATTTTGTCACAGGGAAAACTCAAATCTACTTTTTGATGTTTAGTTTGTCTACCGAGAAATCCTCTACAAAAATTTGAATATTATGAACAAAACTTGGTTAGAAAACGTTCTGTCTTTTCCATGTATAACCTTAGTGCCAACCCTGCTGCCAGATTGTGGCTGTGGAAAAAGTTTCAAATTTTTCAGTAATTCTTGTTTTGGAAGAGTTTTGTTAAATCCGTCCAATAATGATGTTTGTTGCATCCAGAACCATGCTTTATCCAGAATCATGCAATATCCAGAACCATGCTTTATCCAGAACCGTGCTCTATCCAGAGCCATGCTTTATCCAGAACCGTGCTCTATCCAGAGCCATGCTTTATCCAGAACCGTGCTCTACCCAGAACCATGCTTTATCCAGAACCATGCTCTTGTGCAGTTCTGGATAGTCCACGCATATCTAGAGCAGTGCCTGTTTTTGGATATACGGAGACTATCCAGAACTGTGCCTGATCCTAACCCTAACTCATTCTGCCATAGAACTGGACAGGCGCGGTTCCAAGTAGTCCATGTGTATCCAGAACAGTGCCTGAGGCAAATCTACGTTGTTGGATACATGGAGACTATTGCCTGGTCCTAACCCATTCAGGCCTAGAACTGGACAGGCATGGTTCTGTATACAGTAATGTTATCCTGGGGAGAGCAGTAGAGAACATACATCAAGCTTGTGAAAACTGTGCGCTCTTGACATGTGTTCCATAGTCACCACCAGACTAACAATGTGGTTATTTTTTAAATTAAAATTGAGCCAAAAGGGAGAATAATTGACTTGGGGAGTTTAGCCAGAGTTCTTTTGCTAGAGGGGAAAATTAACCCTCTCGCAGACTGACTCTCCGGGCCGACTATTCCCTTTTTTTTACCGAATTCTAGGATCCGTACCCCCGTAGGAAGGCCTGGTGGAGGCTATGTATTCCGTACGTACAAGTCTAGCGTACGGTATCCGTTTGTCGTATTCCGTACTTGCGTACAATATCCGTCCGTTCGTTGTTGCCGCCATGGCCTGTGGTTTGTCTGTGCCATGAAATTGTCCTCTGTGCAGTATGTGTGTATAATATCCTTGTGTAGCTGAATGACTTTTGTATTGTATGATATCAGGAAATTCTACACAAATCTAGAACTCTCATGTATATATTAATAATATAATAAACTGCATTAATTTATTTCTGTCGAACACATGAAAAGTTAGTTTAGGATGTAAAAATCACGATAGATTGATTTTAGATTGTATTAATGAGGAGATACTCGTTAGCTTAACGAGACAGTTGTGTCTCAGTCATGTTGCCAAACTTGTTTCCTAGCCGTGTATCAGTTTTGACCGTTTTTACGTAATGTTGGCTGTTTTAGAGTAATGTTAGAATGAGAGTATGGGACAGAATTTATGGAAAACTCAATGTGAATTTTAAATTTCCCTCCATTTTTTGGTTTTACCGACAAGTTGTCTTAGCTGAGATTCTGAGTAGGAAATGACGTGAAAAATAAAGAACTTTTATGCAGATTAAAGTAATTTGGGAACTGCTACAAAATCAGGAAGTTTCTGCCCAAATCCACCATAAAAATATATTTTATCAAGAAATTTTTATGGAATGCTGCAAAAGAAAATGTGTTTCTAAAAAAGCAGCCCCCAAAATTTCTGTAGTGAGGCTCTATCGTACTGCAGCGAAAATACGTCTGCTTTAAATTTTCTCCGACAAATCTTAAGAATTTTACAGCAAGTCTAAAATTTCCTGTCATAGTTGTAGGACCAAGCTGTGCCTGAGACTGATAACCCTTGGCCTGCTACCCTCACCTGTTCGCCAGTGTCTGACACCTGTAGTATGCCAAGGGTTAACCTGTTTTTGTATTGTGTAATACATGAATTATGCAACCAGGGTTCATACATGGGAGCAGGAGCCTTGTTTAAGGTCAGGGGAAGCTGACCTCTTCCAGGAATTGGTCAGAGGAAGCGTTTGACCTCCGACCTTTACCAGGAATTGGTCAGAAAGTTTTGACCTCCGACCTTTTCCTGGAATTGGTCAGAGAATGTTTTGACCTCCGACCTTTTCAGGCATGAAAATTCTGACCTTTTCCTGGAATTGGTCAAGGGAAAGTTTTGACCTCCGACCTTTTCCAGGAATTGGTCATGACAATTCTGACGCTCAAGGGAGCTGTGAACTCTGACCTCTTCCAGGAATTGGTCAGAGGAAAGTTTTGAAATCCTGTTTTTTCCCCGCAATCAGTATATCACAGTATCAGTAAGCTGTAGACCAGGACTGGTGTAGACAAAGTGGCTATGAATTTGACAATTAATTTTCCAGATCTGGATTTTCAAGGTACATGTATCAGGTTCAGAATGCTTCAGTTGTGGACATGTTAAATATCCTGCAGAAAAATAATGTACCCTCTAATGTCACAGTACAAGGTTTTATCAGTACCATAATATCCTAACTTTACAGTTTTTAGAGACGTTCTACCTTAAAAGAAGACAATTTAGAGACATTTTACCTTAAAGAGAATGACATTTCCGAACCAGGACTGACCAGTGTGGTAATTAATATATTGAGGGATCAGAAACAGCCAACATTTGGTCGTTTGTCGCTTTTCCACTGAGATTATTTTATGATGAAACCCGGAGAATCTCTGCATGTATTTTGTGCTTTTGATTATTTACTAACAACTTTTCCCTGATTTTGAAACATCGATGCCATGCTCTGTAAGAAATAAATTCTATGGGAAACTGGAGAAACTATTTGTGGCCTCTTTTGTTGTTTGCTACTAAGCAAAGTGAACATTCATGACATAAGATATAAAATGTGCGTGTGTGTGTGTGAGTGAGTGAGTGAGTGAGAGTGTCTGTATGTGAGTGTATGTGTGTGTGTGTGTGTGTGTGTGAAGTGCCTGCCGCTCATAGTCATACGCGTTTTAGTAAAGCAAGCCTTAGAAAGAAAACGCCTATCAATACGATGGTCCATTTCTGAATAATTTGCGATATTTTTGTAGTAATGAACTCAAGAACAAGAGCAGGAAAGAACTGGACTAAGAACGCCACAAGAGCCCATCTCGTTTCCGAAGACGCGAAATGGCCAAATCTGGGAATGAGAGACGCTTCCTTATTATTAGCGAGATACGGACATTTTCGGAACAGGTGCGCTAAACGGGTGTGTGATAGGTGGTGTATTTTGAATTCCGTTTTTTTTTAATCTTAGAAAATGAAAGTTTTGACATTGTCGGTGCCCTTGTTTTCAAAGTATTACTCCTTATGGTGTGCCATATTCCTGCTTAATGTCTTCGCCCGACTTTTCTCCATTTCCGACTTGTGCTAAAATGTTTTTTTTAGATCAGCTGATCGCTTGCGGTTGTTGGTCACAGTCCCGGCAGAAATGAAAACGAACGGACGAACACAACCCAAATGGCAATTACAAGCTCTCGCTCTTATAACATACCGTATGTATTCTGTTTAAGATATGTGTATAGATTTATTAGGACTTAAAATGATATAAACTTTAGCTTTTTGGTACATTTTCTGTGGCCCTTACGTCTTCCCTCACGCCCTTAATGAAAAGCGGCCTGCAGGACGATTTGAACTTGTCATGTAAGAAGAGTGTTTCAATTAATGATTCTTTGAATCAGTAGCATTAATTATATTCATCTGGACATAAATGTTCCATAAGATTATCACCTGTATGATACTATTTGCATGATAAAAAGACGCGTGGAAAATAAAGAAGGGTAAGAGTGAAGCACAGCAAACGGTGGAACAGTCATTAAGCTCAGTACCGAAGCGACTACGGGAGCGGAGTCCGACGTAAACTAACCAGGATGACCAACAGTGACAGAAACTTCCGGGCAGCCGCTGCATCAGAGGAAAACTCAAGTCGGGTCTTCAGTGCAATGTTTGTTTTGACTGTGGAGCGTTCGGAAGCGCAAAGGTGGGTGGAATTCCTGCGTTTTAGAAAGAATTTCTCTGCATCTCTTGTTTTCTGTTGAATGTTATCGGCGCTAATTGATACCATTGCGATGCAAGTGGGTTTTTTCCCATGGGCTTTCTTTTTTGTAGCGTATTTTTTGCCAGTCCAAATACTGATTACTTTCCAAGCAGAAGTTCAGGCTTCGGCTTATTTTTGACGTCTATCATAAATATCTGCCTTTTCTTGTTTACCAGCATAGTATTAAATCAATTCATGGCTCACCTAGCCGTGAAGATAAACGTTAAGAATCGATATGATAACTGAAAGGTACACTCCTTGCTTTAAAAGGCATTATTTAGGTCGGAATCATCTGCATGGTTCAGTGTATTTTGCCCTGCTGGGCGTGCGTTTTCCTGCAATGACAACCGCAACCGTTTGGCGGCGCTTTTGCTTGCACCGTGTGTAGGGTCCAGACTGCACTTTCTTCTCCAAGAGCTTGATCTTGCAGCTTGGTTCTGTACCCTTTCCAGCATTTTTTACGTCTGCCGCCCTGCGGCGGCAGACGTGGACTAGCCAGAACAGTCCTTGCGTGGATCGATGCAGGCAACAACGGGCCATGGGCCATTCTGCCTTGCCATTTTACTAAATTGTCGCTAGATGACGCTGTTGTTGTGAATATGGTGCTATTTCATCACATGTCGCAAGATGTCGCTGTGTCAAACTGCAAGGTCCCGGATGTAGAGGTAAAGCTTAAATTTGTTTATTACAGGTTTGCGATAGCAAAACCTGTTCTATTTTACCTGGATTTTATGGGCGCCGCCATTTTGTTTCCCGTCATGCAATGGGGCAGGTCAAAGTTGAGTGAGGTGCATTGTGGGACCTGTCACAGGCCTACAGTGTAAGGACGACACCTAGCGGTATGTTTTGGAAAGAGCAGTAATTGAAAGCCTACCTGGTTGTGTGTTCATTTTGGCAGAAGTGTATAGAGGCGATGGCTTTGACGTAATAAAGGCGAGTCTGATTGTGTTTAGAACTTGACGTAATTTTCTTGGCGGACCTAATGCGGCGGAAGTTTAAAGTTGTTTTTTTTATGATGAGATGGTGAGGCTTTGGTATTAGTAGGGTGGTCTTGAGGATCTTGTTGAGGCCGAGCCTAGGGACGACAGATTGTCCTCAAGTACAGGGGTTAGTAGGTGGGATAAGTGGCATGAAGTTTTGGTATGAGTACACTTCCTGATTTCAAGTTCATTATGGAAATTGTAAGTTTTTTTCAAGCTTACTAGTCCATTATACAGTGACTGTATAGGCGTTTGTAAACGTTTTTACGACCTGCCTTTCAGGCTGCTTGAACTTAACAATGCCGTCGCTTGCGACTCTCCATCTGTCTGAAATCCCCTGTCCTCCACCCAACCAAGGAACATAATTGAAGTATCTGATCAAAACGTTAATTATAGCTCACTTTCAACCTATCCTGATCTAATCTAATTGTCATATCCCATAGCTCTGGTCATATCCATTAAATGACACCTTTTCCTTCTGTGTGAGGACTTCTGTGTGGGGTGAACATTTTTCCACGACATACTATACACTTGTGGGATGACCCGAGGCTCGGTGTGTCAACTCAACGGAAGCTAGCCTTGCCTACAGGTCAGCCAACTGCGCGACCCGATCTCCTACCTCTAATTTGCAGCCGTCAACTTCAATTGTAGGTTTTGCCCAGAGGGGCACGTCTGAGTCTACACATTAAGTTCTAGCTGTATAACCTCTACCAGACTTCAGGAGACAGCTCAGGAAAGGGGGCCTGCAAGGGGGGTCCCGACAACGATCTATGCTGAATTCGGAAACTTCTCGATTTTTTAATACGCTTTACGATAAATTCCAAGTGGCTATAACGCATTACGTAGAATTAAAACGGCGAATATGCTCTACAGAAAAGGGCTTGCGGGCCCCCCAGGAAAGAGTAGAAATTGACCAGATAAAAAGAAAACATGCCAGTGCAGGGGATCCGGAGTTGGTCCGCTAGAGGGTAAAGTGAGGCGAACCGTATATTCTCTGTTTGTGAACAGCATAACTCAAGAAGCTTAATATGCATTGCCATGAAACTTGGTAGGTGGGTAGGTCTTCATAAGAGCTAGGAATGATTAGATTTTGGGCCCCCTGGCGGCTTTCCTAAGTACTGCAGCAGAACTTCTGGTTTTGATATATCGCGATCTGGACATGCTAGGGTCATGAATTTTGCTTTGTAGATAGCTCTTGGGGTAGGGAAGACGTGACATGAATTTTGCTTGGTAGATAGCTCTTGGGGTAGGGAAGACGTGACATGAATTTTGCTTGGTAGATAGCTCTTGGGGTAGGGAAGACGTGACATGAATTTCGGTAGGTAGGTAGCTCTTGGGGTAGGGAAGACGTGACATGAATTTCGGTAGTTCGGTAGGTAGTTCGGTAGGTAGGTCGTTCGGTACGTCGTTCGGTAGGTCGTTCGATACGTCGCTCGGTACGTCGCTCGGTACGTCGCTCGGTACGCCGCTCGGTACGCCCGCTCGGTACTTGGGTAGGCCCGCTCGGTACTTGGGTAGGCCCGCTCCGTACTTGGGTAGGCCCGCTCGGTACTTGGGTAGGCCCGCTCGGTACTTGGGTAGGCCCGCTCGGTACTTAGTGGCATGAAGTTTTGGTATGAGTACACTTCCTGATTTCAAGTTCATTATGGAAATTGTAAGTTTTTTTTCAAGCTTACCAGTCCATTATACAGTGACTGTATAGGCGTTTGTAAACGTTTTTACGACCTGCCTTTCAGGCTGCTTGAACTTAACAATGCCGTCGCTTGCGACTCTCCATCTGTCTGAAATCCCCTGTCCTCCACCCAACCAAGGAACATAATTGAAGTATCTGATCAAAACGTTAATTATAGCTCACTTTCAACCTATCCTGATCTAATCTAATTGTCATATCCCATAGCTCTGGTCATATCCATTAAATGACACCTTTTCCTTCTGTGTGAGGACTTCTGTGTGGGGTGAACATTTTTCCACGACATACTATACACTTGTGGGATGACCCGAGGCTCGGTGTGTCAACTCAACGGAAGCTAGCCTTGCCTACAGGTCAGCCAACTGCGCGACCCGATCTCCTACCTCTAATTTGCAGCCGTCAACTTCAATTGTAGGTTTTGCCCAGAGGGGCACGTCTGAGTCTACACATTAAGTTCTAGCTGTATAACCTCTACCAGACTTCAGGAGACAGCTCAGGAAAGGGGGCCTGCAAGGGGGGTCCCGACAACGATCTATGCTGAATTCGGAAACTTCTCGATTTTTTAATACGCTTTACGATAAATTCCAAGTGGCTATAACGCATTACGTAGAATTAAAACGGCGAATATGCTCTACAGAAAAGGGCTTGCGGGCCCCCCAGGAAAGAGTAGAAATTGACCAGATAAAAAGAAAACATGCCAGTGCAGGGGATCCGGAGTTGGTCCGCTAGAGGGTAAAGTGAGGCGAACCGTATATTCTCTGTTTGTGAACAGCATAACTCAAGAAGCTTAATATGCATTGCCATGAAACTTGGTAGGTGGGTAGGTCTTCATAAGAGCTAGGAATGATTAGATTTTGAGCCCCCTGGCGGCTTTCCTAGGTACTGCAGCAGAACTTCCGGTTTTGATATCTCGCGATCTGGACATGCTAGGGTCATGAATTTTGCTTGGTAGATAGCTTTTGGGGTAGGGAAGACGTGACATGAATTTTGCTTGGTAGATAGCTCTTGGGGTAGGGAAGACGTGACATAAATTTTGCTTGGTAGATAGCTCTTGGGGTAGGGAAGACGTGACATGAATTTCAGTAGGTAGGTAGCTCTTGGGGTAGGGAAGACGTGACATGAATTTCGGTAGTTCGGTAGGTAGTTCGTTCGGTAGGTCGCTCGGTACGTCGCTCGGTAGGTCGCTCGGTACGTCGCTCGGTAGGTCGCTCGATACGTCGCTCGGTAGGTCGCTCGGTACGTCGCTCGGTACGTGGGTGGTACTTGGGTAGGCCCGCTCCGTACTTGGGTAGGCCCGCTCCGTACTTGGGTAGGCCCGCTACTTGATTTGGGTAGGCCCGCACTTGATTTGGGTAGGCCCGCACTTGATTTGGGTAGGCCCGCACTTGATTTGGGTAGGCCCGCACTTGATTTGGGTAGGCCCGCACTTGATTTGGGTAGGCCCGCACTTGATTTGGGTAGGCCCGCACTTGATTTGGGTAGGCCCGCACTTGATTTGGGTAGGCCCGCACTTGATTTGGGTAGGCCCGCACCGTACTTGGGGTAGGCCCCGCACCGTACTTGGGGTAGGCCCCGCTCCGTACTTGGGTAGGCCCGCTCCTTTACTTGGGTAGGCCCGCTCCTTTACTTGGGTAGGCCCGCTCCGTACTTGGGTAGGCCCGCTCCGTACTTGGGTAGGCCCGCTCCGTACTTGGGTAGGCCCGCTCCGTACTTGGGTAGGCCCGCTCCGTACTTGGGTAGGCCCGCTCCGTACTTGGGTACAGCACTGCCTGATCTCCATGGTTCATCTGTTCTAAGTATGCACACATCTATCAGCAACTTATGTCAATTCTTGCAAACACTCAATTGGACTACAAGTGTAGCATGCAATTTTGAGCTTGTAGCTTTGCAATCAGAACATGTGCCATTGTCACGTAGTGTTACTAATGTGTCTATCACACTGACTGACAACAATGTGCCCAACAGTAGGGAGTCACAAACTATAAACTCCTTACCTCAACCTGAATCGACTGAATGCAACTTACAACATACAAACATAGCCTCCTTTCATCAAATGACCTTAGAAACTCAACAAAATCTTGAGAAGCACATGCATGAAAATAAACGGCTCAGAAATGGTGAAACAAAAACCAGAGAAGTTACTGATGAAAATGTAGACAGACATGCAAACGAAGAAACATTCTGCACACCTACTAATATAACAGAAATAGCTGAACACCGGCAGACGCCAGCTTTTTTTAAAAGCACTTGTTTCTCAAACAATTGCATTGTAGAACAGATAATCTGCTGACGTTTTCAGTATTAGTAACTTTTGGCACTGTAACAGCAACTTTATTACAAATGGCTTGTCAGCATTATTGTTCAAGCTACTCTGGTGTTTTTATGCAGCTATTTATGTTTACCGAAGGAAAACATATTGCTTTTGTTCCATTTCTTCTTCTTCTGTTCCAAACACTAACCTCTGACCTGGCCTATGGCCTCTTTTGTTGACGTCTGTCACCATGGTAACTGGTGTTGGGTTACATAATGTGGCAATTTCATAGTAGGCATTTAGACTCCTGTCACCATGTACTAGTAGTACATGTATGTGAATGTGTCTGAGTAAGAAGTAACACAGCAGACCATATCCGAAGGTAAACATTATGCATTTGCTTTGCAAATGTTACTTTTCTAGTTGTAGATAATAATTGTATATTGTTTTAATGTTGTTACAATATGGGTCATATGCCTGACAGAGAGTAAACACAACACACCAACAACATCACTTCTGTAGTTTATTCTATACAAGGAAGGGATAAAACAATTCATGTATTTTCTGCAAATTACAAGAAAACTCCCTTTATGAACAAAATAAGCGGATGGGAAACATGAAATATGAAAATGATACAAACTGGACAAAATTACAAGCAGCATTTCAAATAACAGCAATTCATATCATTTCAGTGTCATCACATCTTTCTACTATTCTACCATACTACTTCTAGAATGAACACACATTGTACAGATATGTTTTTTAGTTATCCCTACAATATTCACAATAGGCAATTAAATGACTGATAATTATTAATAAATACAGTAATACAATAATGTTACATGCAGGAAGAAACTTGCCTGCAAGGTTTACTTCTTTAATACCGTAGTCTTCTGTAAGGCTTTAATATAAAAGTACCCTTCAGTGAAGTACTATTATGGAGCAGTTGTTGTATATTGTGGATAAATAATACATTTACAATCACAATAGTCACATTTTAAACTTTGTATTCTGCAAGAAAGGGAAATGAGGGAAGGAATGAAAGTTGGAGTGAATAAGGACAAATATTCAGATTTACGTGGTTCTGTAAGACTGTAACACTCCTTCGGTGACATTATCACAATCTGTTAAGTTAACGTTAATAATCTAAAATGTCAATTTTACCCTGCAAAATCCTTCCTACAACTTGAGCTTCAAGCAATTTTTAACCCCATTGCTGCCGTGGCTACCAAATTTAACAAATTTACAAAATGATTCAGCACAATTCAGCTGGAAGAAGGTTTAATGAAGCTATACAATAATAATACACTGTACCGTGACGGGGGCTGACATTGTTGTCTACCAGATACCTTTGACCCAGTGTTGACGTCACACTTCAAAGAAGCCACCTGACAAGCCTCACTGGGTCAGTCTACTGAGGAAGACCAGAGTGACTGGTCAAAAGCTCTAGGTGAGAGAACTTTTGTGTTGGATCTTAAGTTTTTAACTCTAAACAATTCTTAACCCCATTGCTGCTATGGGCACCAAATTCAACAAATTTACAAAATGATTCAGCACAAATTAGCTGGAAAAAGGTTAACGTTAAATGGAAGCTTTACAATAATAATACAAGTCGAGTGTGGCCTCTATGGGTGAAACACACCTGAAGGTTAATAAAACCTAACATCACGTAGTTTTGCATTGGAGCAGCATTTGATCAGGCCTACATGTAACACCTACTAATACCAGTAGTAACACAAGTATAATGTTACAAGGGGGCGGGGGGGTGACCTCTATGTACAAAGTGGGATGGGGGGGGGAGGCAACCTCTAGGGCAGCTGGGGTTGTTCCATGTTGACGGAGATTGATTAGGGGGGCTTCTATGTACATGGTGGGGGAGGGGGGTGACCTGTATGTACACAGTGGGAGGAGGGGATGACCTCTATGCCAGCCTGGGCTGTTCCATGTTGATGGGGGGGATGGTGATGGGGGATGGGAGGGGGGTGACCTCTACAACAACTGGGGGGGTTCCATGTTGATGGGGGGAATGGTGACAGGAGGGATGATGGTGCCACAGTCCACGTACTCGTAGTCTGTCAGGGTGAGGTTCTCCGAGTGGGACAGGTAAGACGTACTGCAGGTGATCCTGCGAACGGGAGGAAAATCAGTCAATCAATCAATCAATTCATCAATCAATTTATCAATCAATTTATCAATTAATTTAGCAATCAATTTAGCAATCAAACAATCAATCAATTAAGCAAGCAATCTATCTATCAATGAACTAGGTTGCGTAATGTTTTAAACCTTCACATGGTCTAGCCTAACAAACTACTGCTCTGTTTATTCTTACTCAGGCACATTTACATATATGGTGACCAGCCCCTCGAACCCTGTCCTGCTACATAATGTAACCCAACACTATGGGGTGTCTGCCACAGCACCAGTTACCATGGGGACAGACGTCTGGTTCAGCTCATTGACTTTATTTGTTTGAAGAAGAAGAAGAATAAAAAAGATAGCAAAAACAATGTGTTTTCCTTCTGCACAGTGCAGGTGATCCATGTATAATGAATTGTGTGACCTGTAATCATACATGTATATCAGACTTACTGTAACTGTAGGATGAGGTGGTGAACCCAGTCTATAGGGTTGGAGCACAGTTCCCTAAAAACAACAAAAACATTAGTCAGTAAGTTGGTACAAATTTTAATGTTCAAAAACAGGTTTTCTTCTAAGAATTTTAGTCTTTGAATTTTGGAAAAGTGCACCAGGGAGACTTCAATAGTCTTGTAACATTCATTTAGTTTTTTATTCCTTTTAACAGCTGGACACATAACTTATGAAGGAGGAAATACATGTACATGTGTAGTGTACTTGGCAAAAATACAAGAGCCCAGCTACAAGCCATATGTTTGTTACTTACGCCACGTATCCGAGATCCTTTGAATCATCGAATGTTGTGTTTACAGCAACTTTCACCTGGGAGGGAAAATAAAACAACAGTCAAATTCTCTGAAGAGTTAAATGTTTAGCAGTGACTGAGAATAGTTTGTATGTACATGCGAAGCAAAATCCGGGATACACAGACATTATCTAGAACCGCCAAAAAGCAGTTATTCAAGCAACTGTATATGATTTTGGAAACTGTCAGACGTTTCAGCCAGTATCCACTAGCTTTCGTCAGTGACTGAGACCAGAGGGGAAAAGCAGGTTTATAACACTCAATCAATAGTTTGTGCTTATAAACCTGCTTTTCTCCTCTGGTCTCTCAGTCACTGATGAAAGCTAGTGGATACTAGCTGAAACGTCTGACCATTTCCAATAATCATATCCAGCTGCTTGAGTAACTGCTTTTTGTCGTATCGTATTACCTGGATGTGTACCCTTCATCAACTATCTAGAACCATATACAGTAGATTATAACCCTATAACTGAATACTGTTTGTGAGCTCGTATGGGGACCTGATCTGAGGCGACAGACAGAGATCAGACAGAGATTTCCCCACGACCGTCTCGTGGTACAAAACCATAACAGCACAATAAAATCACATTAATAGCACTACAACAGTACAGTAACAGTACAAGAACCCCACCTGTTTGTGTGCTCTGATGGGGACCTGATCAGAAGCGACAGAGAGAGATTTCCCCATGACCGTCTCGTGGTACAAAACCATAACAGCACAATAAAATCACATTAATAGCACTACAACAGTACAGTAACAGTACAAGAACCCCACCTGTTTTGTGTGCTCTGATGGGGACCTGATCAGAAGCGACAGAGAGAGATTTCCCCATGACCGTCTCGTGGTACAAAACCATAACAGCACAATAAAATCACATTAATAGCACTACAACAGTACAGTAACAGTACAAGAACCCCACCTGTTTGTGTGCCCGTATGGGGACCTGATCAGAAGCGACAGAGAGAGATTTCCCCACGACCGTCTCGTGGTACAAAACCATAACAGCACAATAAAATCACATTAATAGCACTACAACAGTACAGTAACAGTACAAGAACCCCACCTGTTTGTGTGCTCTGATGGGGACCTGATCAGAAGCGACAGACAGAGATTTCCCCACGACCGTCTCGTGGTACAGAACCTGCAGACTCATACTGCCCATGGTGACTGGGAAGAAATTCCAGTTTGTCACGTTTACTTCACTCTGCAGGGGGGAGGGGGGACATTTCAGTACAGGAATAGTGCATTAATACTAGTACAGTAACAGTATTTTTTTTTTTTTATGAAAGATTCCGAGCGAGTCTCGACGGAGTGAGTGAGTGAGTGAGTAACAGTAAAATCAACACTAGGGAAACAGCATATTCACAGCACATCAACAATTAATGACTTTCTTGGTTCTTTGCCATTTTAGAGTCAAAATTATTAAAAGCAGCCAGTTAAGCATTAAGACAACAGAGAGTTGGAAGGAAAACTTGTATCTCACTCCCAGAAACTGTCGTGAACTAAGGTACAGACTTTCCCCTCAGTCTCTGCTTTTATGTTGATCTTCCATAACACAGCATTATAAGTATTATTCCTACTGAGCTCTAACTCTCGACCAATTCAACCGTTGTTATACTAACAAAACATTATTGTAACAGCACCATTTCAGCACCAAAATAATACTGAAAACAGCAAAATTTTAGTACCAAAACAGTATTACAACAGTATTATTGTTCCTCACCTCTATATAAATCCAGACCGTGCCCTGAGTCTTGTTGACGTGAACGTCGATGTGTTTGATGTGGTTATTCGACACCTGAACTTCTCTCGGCATCAGGAAAAATATCAGCAGACCGCAGGCCAGTAATGTCGTAAACACGGCGAGGCACACGTAAAGCTTCCTGTAAACAATAAACAACAAACAATAAATAACAACAAATATCAGCAGCCCTCAGGCCAGTAATGTTGTAAACACGGCGAGGCACACGGAAAGCTTCCTGTAAACAATAAACAATAAATAACAACAAATATCAACAAAGAGTAACTAGAAATGTAACATTTTGCAAAGCAAATGCATAATGATGATGATGTTTACCTTCGCATATGGTCTGCTCTTTTTTTAATTCTTACTCAAACACATTCATATATATGGTCAGACAGGAGTCTAAATCCCTCCTGCTATAAAATTGCACCATGATGTAACCCAACACTAGTTGGCAAGAGACTGTATAAGAAGGTTCTTCATTCAGCCACCAGTGCTAGCATTGTTGTTTTTTTGCAACATTTGTTCAACTAGTTCAGCCAATGGATTGGCTGTCTGCAGGTCATTGACCTTCTGTGGAAATGCCTTAGCAACACTGGGGTCAACGAACTCCATTTTCAGCAGGGAGAAACATGTTTTGTTGGGTAAAATTAGGCCAAGGGCACTGGAGAGTTCAGGTCTTTATATCTCAGGCCAAACCAAGTTATTCTTTGGTTCTTGGACAAATTTTGAAAATAAAAAGCTAGCAAGCCAGTATATAGATGGATAGATTACAAAATTATCAAAAGATCCTGCACTTGACAAAAAAAAACGTGCTCGTTCCATGTTCTAAGGCCAAGTCAAGTTATATCTATGGTTGTCAGTCATTTGAAAGTACAGATTAATCTAGCAAAACTCACGTTCTTCTGGGCTTGAGTCTGTTGTCTGAATATGGAATCAGGGCCACCAACTTGTCTTCTTGTCCTGCAGGATATCAGAAATATAATATATAAAGATATCAGAAATATAAGAAATAAAGATATCAGAAATACAGGAATGTAAGAAAATCTTAGGCTACCGTGAAAACCTTGAAACAAGTATTTCAAGACTTACACTTGCTACAGTATCCACATCTACAACTAACATCTATTACTGATGTTAACTGTATTTTTATTATACATGTAATCATTCTGTCTGGCCTTACTTCCCACATTACCAATAAAAAGTGACCTGCAGGCCGATTTTTGCTTCTCATGAATAAAGAAATAGGCTCAAACAAACACCTGGGGGCTCATCCTGTCTCTAAATAATGACACTGGTTCATCACACAAACTTGGGAACTCACAAACAACATTCTAATCATTTCTTCAAACAACTCGTGAGCTCGGCTAGTCACAGTGGTCAGGGCTTTAATAGCCTCCACCAGGCTTCGGGAGGCGGCTGGAAAATGTAGATATTGGCCAAATACTGAAATAGAAAAAAGACATCCCGGGGGAGTTGGTCTGATAGAGACTACATTCTGCTGTATCCAAACTGTACTCTCTAGCACTGACCAACTTCCCCGGCATGTTATCTCTCTATTTTGCCAATTTCTGCTCTTTCCAGCCGCCTCCCGAAGCCTGGTAGAGGCTAGTCAGGGCTTGGAAGACTGGGCTATAACTTAAATCTCCAAGCAGATCATACAGTACCAAGGCAGTATCCATTGGTAAGAGCAGTGTGTATCACTACTTGCCACCGTATGATCTGCTTGGAGATTATGTACCAGTGGGGGTTTATAGGTGCTACCAACTGACCCGGCCGATGGGTCTAGACTCCAGACCTTTTAGCCAAATTGGTAGGAGAATCTGATTTGAAATTAGTGCTTGGGTTTGGTCGTGGATTCAAACCCCGGCCCAGGACCAGGAGTGTCTTTCTGTTTCTACTCTCCTAATCCTTACGATTAGTAAGTTTAAAACCCTACCACACACATGGTCCTGCAATTGCAACTACCATGAAGGTGTCAACTTCTATAGTGACTGTTAAACATTGTCACTGTGCTACTGTTACTACTGTTAAGCTAATTAAGCTGGGGACATAATTAACATGTAGCATTGTTAATCCTCACCATAAATAATTATCTTTATCAAGTAATTAACACTCAAAAGGCTGTTATCTGTGTGGTAAATTATGTACACACAGAGGTGTGAAGATTTGGTCATTTGGTGTGAAGACATCAGTCACAGTTGTCTGTGAAAATCCATATTCAACAGATCAGCTCTTCTTATCACAACATGGGATCAAAGAACAATGAATGTAAGGTAGCCTCCACCAGGCTTCAGAGACAGTGGAAACAATTCTGGGATCCAAAACTTGTCTGTAGATAATCCAGAACCAGATTAACGAGGGATTATTCCGTTTAATTAGGATAACGATCTATGGGATTCTGTTGTTGGTCACCTTTATCTAATCTGCCATCTATCCAAGAGCAACAAACAATACACATATTTTATTTCTGAAGACTTTGGGAATTTAGGAAATCTGATAGGACTGAAGGCTTGCAATTTTCAACCTGCCACTTATATAATGTTGCAAATCTTGAAATTTCCACAGAAGTTTTATAACCTCCCCACTCTACTGCACTGACTCTACTGTAGTGGGCCACAAAATGTACCCTCTCTGGCCGGCTAACTCCCCTGGTACTATTCCCTTCATTTTGGCCAATTTCTACCATTTATCCAGCAATCTGCAGGGCCTGGTAGAGGCTAGTGCTTCGGGAGGCGACTGAAAGAGTAGGCCAAAAAAATTATTGAGAGAGATACTAGTAACATGCCAGGGGAGTTGGTCTGCTGGGAGAGCACCGGGTGCAGCAAACTGTACTCTCCAGCAGCACCAACTTCCTTGGCATTTTATCTCTCTCTATTTGGCCGATTTCTAGTCTTTCCAGCGATCCACGGTGCCTGGTAGAGGCTAGGCTAACTCTCTTGGTACTATTCCATTCAGTTTGGCCAGTTTCTATTATTTTCCAGCGATCCGCGGTGCCTGGTTGAGGCTAGCCGCTGCCACACTGGCCCAGACACTGGGACAACTCTGATGTTTGTGATCCTGTCGTTCTTACAGAACTAGGTCAACTGGGCACATTTCACTGCACGTGTGGTCTGCACTCAGAATCTAGGGTTTAACTAAAACTCAGCAGCTTTTAACGTTACTAAAGTAAAAACATGAAAATCTAATCATGCCTGGATAGCTAACAATAAATATAACATTTGAAGCATTCTAAATTGGTCTGGAAATCTAGAGTGACGCAACATATAGTGGGGAGGGGGGCGACAACATAATTTTTAGTAAACATTCTTCCCAATAACATCACAAACTTTGACGTTCTTTCTACCGATCTACAAGATAACTACAGTTGTGGCTCAGAACTAGATTTGTTTGTCAACTAAGCAGCAACAAATTTCTGTATAAACTGTATAAATATACGTTATGTACCGGTAACAAATATAGTCCATCATGGTATATTTCTCCAAGAAGAGTCTTGTTTTGAACGTTTTCTCAGTTTTTCAGAGTAATTTTGTCGGGATTTCTATTTTGCCGGCTTTACTTTTCTATCCAGAATACATAGAGAACATAAAAAGCCCAACAAAACAACCAAAAACACAAGAAATCGTCCCAAAACAGTCCCAAACCTGTACTTGTAGTACGTGATACTACGTTCGTGGGGGAGGGGGGAGTCGTCAGCTGTTGTCGGTCGGCCTTACCTTTGGGTATTTTGCCCGAACCGTTGCAAGTCGGACATCGGACATGTCTTGACCCGATCAGGTCCTCAAACCAGGAGTCTGAGGCGGCTGCTGCCATGACTTCGCCGCCATTTGAGTCCCCATGTTCCCCAGAAAGCCCGTTGATGCTCATGGTTCCGTAGCTGGGCTTCCGCAGCCCCCTGAAATCCACACTAGCTTTTCGAGTCATCGCAGCGGCGATTCTGTAGGAGTGACCCACAGGGTGAAATGTGATACCCGCGGACCGGCCGGTAACCTGATACCTACACGACTGGACTGTAATCTGATCTGTTCTCACAGGAGCGGGATTTGCATGTACTTTGCTTTTTTTGTTTACATTTGGTGTTTAATAAGTCTCTTTTTGTTTAATGTGTAAAGTTGGACGATTTGCATGCACAACATGTTTGGGAAGTTGTTGAACGGGTTTTAAGTTTGGAATACTTTTCTCTTCATTACTGTAAATTAAAAAAAACACATTTTTTCTTCTTTTCTATCAAGCCAGCATTTTTGGATTAATGAATAAATCTGGGCCTATTGTAAGGTTATGAAATCCTATAATAAAGAATAACTTTATTTTCTACATTATTGAAGACAAAGTATTTCTTGTAACATTTTCCCGTCATTAATTAACACACAACTCCTTCGCGTTTTTATTTTTCTGCATAATGTATTTGGGACATCAGAGAAACAAGTTGAACACCTGTCCCTCCGTGCACCCCCTGAGGGCGAATGGACTGTCCCGGGTCAATGACCTCCGTGTCCCAGTTTGCCCCTGTGATCGGCACGTGAGGCGGTGGTCAGCTCCAAGCAGATGTTGGGTGGGAAATCTGTTATTTTACTGCTTGGAGGTTGACACAGTGCTAGAGAAAATAGCCTCGTTGTTCAGACTTTTTGGGGCCATGCATAAGGCATTAGAAATAGGATGGGGAGCGATCTCAGGTTTGCCCATACATGTGGCAATCTCCTAGACTATTTTTCATCAATCCAATGGGTAAAAATTGGTCTGGAGAATATAGCCTCGTTCTTCAGGCTTTTGGGGGTCTTTCAAAATACAATAAATACAATAATTTTTGTTTTGGTTGATTCCCAATACACCTGTAATTATAACATCCCAAGGCCTGTAGGTCACATATTTCATCCTGAGAGGCCTGGTTGAGACTAATTTTCTAAGAGGAAAGTGCAATGTCAGAAAGCTAATGCCCCTGTCTAATACATGTCACTACTGTCTAAACTTTGAGTTGGGCCACAATGTAGGTTTGGTGCCTTGCTAGTGTAATACTGCTATAAATCTCCATAGGCTTTCGCTATTCCCATGGCGGGTTTCCCACTACTGGTTTGAGTGCTTCGTCACATGTTTTTCTCCTTAGCTTTTTGATTAAATAACACAGTGTGACGCGGAAAAGCAAAACATGTTAGATAAGCTGTCAGGTTACTGAACTCAATGTTGGAGGCATTTGTTTTATAACAGATGTCAACGAACTCGTAAATGCCTAAAGCAAGAAACTCTTGATAACTTCAGTAAAAAAATAAAACAGTTCATTAATTGGATAAAACACGCCGGGAAGCAAAAACATGTTAGATAAGCTGTCAGGTTACTGAACTCAACGTCGATGAAGGTTAGACATCCAGGTAATACGATACGCCAAAAAACAGTTACTCAAGTAACAGTTGGTTGAGTAACTGTTCTTTGGCGTACTGAACTCAACGTTGGACATGTTCGTTTTCAAACAGACGTCAACGAACTCCTGAAAATATGCCTTAAGCAAGAAACTCTTGATGACTTCAGTAAAAAAAAAAATAGGATAAACCATGCTGAGAAAGCAAAACAAGTTCATGTTACTGAACTCAACGTTGGAGACGCTTGTTTTCCAACAGATGTCAACAACCTTGTGAAAATATGCCTCAAGGCTACTTAAGCAAGAAACTCCTGATGACTTGATTTAAAAAAAATTAGATCTGGATTCTGGACTCAGACGAGATGTATTAAAGCACGTCATTTAGTAATGACTTTTATGAACCGTGTAGGCGGATAACCTTTTTCTTGTGATGGTTTGTGCCTGGAGGCTGTTTCTTGAGGTTATTTTATTAAAGGCCTGAGGAGAGATCCAGTGAAGTCATTGAACCTGCTTTGTGTAAGCCTTCAAGAGTTCATTGACATTTGTTTGAGAAGATTTTACAGTCTAAAAATTAGACGTATTGAAGTCACTAATAACTTTTATTTTCTTGAGATGGTTTGTGCCTGGGGGTGTTTTTTGTGGTTATTTTTGTCAAGACCATACCTGAGGCAAGATCTAGTCAAGTCATTGAACCTGGAGCCTTCAAGGGTTCATTGACATCTGTTTGAAAACAGAACTTCATTGAAAAAAAAAATTAGATATATTGCAGTCACTAATAACTTTTATTTCCTGAGATGTTTTTCGCCTGGGGGAAGCTTCTTGTGGTTATTTTTGTGAAGGAAAGTCATTGAACCCACTTTGTGTTGTGTAAGCTTTCAAGAGTTCATTGACGTCTGTTTGAAAACACTTTACTGTCAACTTTGTTTCTTCTATTCTGTTTTCTTTAGCCAGGATGGCCCACTCAGAAGCACTGCTTTGCAGTGTGGCCCTGGACACAATATTAGCATACCATATGCATGGGTTGGTAGGTAGCAGTAGTCTGCACCAGACTCCTTTGCAGGCTGAATAAAGAGTCAAAATCAGCCTAAAAGGGTATATGATTGTTCCACAGAGACTGTGCAGGCAAACTGAGCCTTCTATGGCTTGCAAACTCCCCTGGCCAAATATTTAAGCCAATTTTGACTATATGTTCAGCATTCAAAGGTGTCTAGTGTAGACTAGAAGAATATACAGATCAGTTTTTGTTTCGGTAGTTCTCTAAGAGCGCCACAAAATGGCAGTTGAAATTAATACATTTGCTGGTGCCCTTACAGTTGTCGTATAATACATGCATTAACGCACCTCCAAACCGCTGTTGAAACAGAACTAGAGCAAGCTGCTGGCCAAAGAGCTACTTTAGTAAGTTGGTGCACTTCTTCATCAAACCACTGGAGGGCGCTTTTGAGTACACCATAGGATTCCTTCCAACAGTTGTTATATTTCATGTTTCAGTTACAAATTGAGAAGAACGAGACACATTTTATATCTCAGACATGTTTATTTCAGTCTCTTCTCCACAGACTGGAACAGAACTACGTAATCTACAAGTTGTTTTTCTCTTTTTTTTTCACTGGACCAAGAAGGTTGATTTTAAACCTCCTTGACTGGACTAACATTAAATCATGGCTGTTATTGCACAGAGTAAAGTCAGAAGTTTACAGAACTAGGAGAAAGGAAGGAAGAAAAGAAGGATTAAAGAATGAACATGACAGGACAGAGGGAGCAAAAGAGAAAGGAAAAGTATGATTTTATAAAAATGACATTTACAAGGCCAACATCAAGTCGGCAAAGTAAAAATACTTGTACAGAGTAAAATATCATTTTTGATTCTGATTCTTACTGATCTACCTTTCAAAACTCAACATTCGCCTGATTCCACAGAATTGTCCTTTAATTTTGACATTTCATCCACTAAATTTTCCCAGTCCCTTCAAAACACAACATGTGCCCGAAAACCCAGAATTGTCCATGTATTTCAACATTTCGTCCGCTGCCTTTTTCCAGTGCTCAGATTGTACTGATTGGAGATATCTATCCCACATTATCACTGTTATTTCATCAGTAACATCAGCCCTGGTCTGTAGGTTTGGGAAGACACTGAAAAAACTGTAGTCCATTCCAGGGCTGGAAACACTGTAAATATGCACTTCTGTGCACCCCAAATTGGAGCTGTGCACCTAATTCTAACTGTGGATGCACCAGTGCACCTATAGATACATGTATTAATGTAAGGTACACATGTAAAGGTACCGTTTTACACCAGTACAGATACACAGCATATTCTTGATATTTGAATGTAAGAAAAATCTTTGTTGCTTTACTAGTTCAAAAGTTTGAAGCTAGCTATACACTTTCAGACTCAAGCTCTGAAGAGAGTTTGTAATTTAGTTTTGCTGACATTCTACTTGATTTCTTGTTGTGCACCCAATTTTTCTTCTGTGTACCTAGGTGTTTTGGTCTGGCGCACCAGAGCAGCTAGTCTAAAACATGAATTTCAAGCCCTGTATTTACATAATGACAGAACTGAAGGTGTGGGGAGTTTCAGACATGACTTGGCAAATCTGAGGTGTCCAGTGCTTAATGGATTCTGACTTTTACAGGATTGTTCGTCTGTTTTGCAAAACAAAAGTTCACACCTGTCTGCATCTTCATGACTTACCACATGTCAATCATTTCTGAAAGGTGTCAATCATTCTGCTAACAGGTGAATACAAAACAGGAATGTGTCTATGTGGTCACAAAAATCTCATTAGTTGCTTTTCATCTATATTAGTTACTTCAATGGTTACCAAACCTATTATAGCTCCCGAGTCCTACATTCTCTCTGATATTTGTGGAGAGGATGTAGGACTCGGGAGTCAGGAGCTATAAAAGGTCTGGTAACCAGGCTTAATTACTTCCATATAATTTTCTTATGACTCAAATCAAGTAAAAAAATGTCAACCTGCTGCCACAATGGTCCATTATGCAAACCTCTTTTGAGCAGATACAGATTTTCCTTTGATGCAAAAACTACAATTTTGAAAGTTTCAAAGAAACTACTAATCAGATTTGTGTTACCATAGCAACATGAAAGTACATATTTTTGATCATCGCAGCAATTCCGTGGTCTCCGTGGTTACCCTGTTCTGACGGCGGAGCTGAGGTCGTTGAAATACGGGTGGTTTAACCCCTCGTCAGCCGAGAGCCGGTGGGCGGGGTTACACACCAGCAGCCGCTGGGAAACAGGACAAGAATAGCACGGTTACAGGACAAGAATAGGACAACAGAAAACTGTATGTGGTGACCAACCACCAAGTATCTGATACCAGCCCAAAAAAGAACAAGGAACAGTCATGCCTTCAAATATCAGAGTTATCAACCAAGAATTGAAGTGTTCAAAAACTCAAGCCAGTAACCCCTCCCCTGTAGATTGTAAGCACTCTCCCCCAGGTCCAATCATGGGCTACCGGTAACAGAAAAATTTCGTGCTGGCTTGAGCCCTGGAGAGTTGGCCCTGGATTGAACCCTGCATCATCACCTCACCTGTAACAAGTCTCTTCCCTTGGGACACAGCTTGGGGACGACCACAGCTAACGACGTCGTGACTTGGTAAATAGGAAACGGCTGGGGGGAACACAAATATCACAGTTTGCATTAAAGTTTCAGTCACTTTAGATGTCATCAATAGGACTGAAAATTATTTGCACTTATATGGAGCTCTTTGTTGACAAAATATCAAAATTAAAGGACAGTAATAATGTCTTTAACTTTAACTTGTGAGAAAACTTGTAAGCAAGTCTGACCTTGTAATCGGGGAGTCTGGACATGCCAGGCCAGGTGTCTTCTGTGGGAGTCCCCAACAATGTGCACGGAGGGTTAAGGAACTTTTCTCGGGCACAACCTTGGAGGAAGGAACTCAGAAGAAAACACAGCAAGTAGTGTAGAAAAAAAGAGCCTGAAGTAAAGAGTGCAGCAGTCCATAGACACTGAGGGAACTACATGTACACTGGTGGTTAAAGAGCACAGAAAGATGGTAACCATAAAAGGATATCTGAATATCCTCTTCAGTTGATCGTCTACGTCATTCCCAGGGAACAGCGGTCTGCCGGCGTTAGCGAGCTCTGGGGAAACAAAAATTGGGAAATTCTGCAGCTGCAGTACCAAGAAAAGCTACCAGGAGGCCTTCAATCAATCTTAACCTTTGTCTTCCCAAGACATAGCTACCTACAACCCATCATTACAATCCATCCATACCGTCTTAGGTTATACTTACAGCTAGCCCCAATATTAGAAAACACAAACAAACGAACACACACACACACAAACAAAACACAAACACATACACACACACAGACAGACAGACACACAGACAGACAGACACACAGACACCCTAAAACAAGACCCCATGGAGGTAACAAGAAGAAACAAGCCCTCCCACCTGCAAATATACACCCAGCTGACCACATGTCTATGGAGGTGGAGTACAGCTTGGCCCCAAACAACACATCAGGTGGGCGGTACCACAGGGTCACGACCTGGGGGCAGAGGGCACAGGGTAAAGGTCATGAACTTAAAATTCATCTACAGGAGACATGTGGCATGGAACTTTTGATGATCAGCCATGGTACTTTTTTATTGTTTATGTGAAAGCTAGGTGTGAGAGAACTTTGTGTTGGATCAAAAGTTTGAACTTTAAACACCAAGAAAATTTGTTTTAAAAAATTTACCCAAACAAAACTTACCTCAGCGGAGTAACATCTAACCGGAATGCCGAAGGCTCGAGCCAGTCCAAAGTCAGCAAGTTTCAGCTCCCCGTTCTTGTTGATGAGCAGATTCTGAGGCTTCAGGTCACGATGAAGGACGTTGTGACTGTGGCAAAACGCCAGGCCTCGCAACAACTGGTACATAAACGACTGTAACAAACAAACAAACAAACATGTTACATGTGTAACAAACGCCAGGCCTCGCAACAACTGGTACATAAACGACTGCAACAATAAGGCAACATTCAAATATTGCATTATTTGAATATCAAATTTCACGAAAATAACAAGTAATATGTGCACCATTTGACCTGTGACCTACACCATTTCACCTATGACCTACATCATTTGACCTGTGACCTACCTTGACTGTTTCTGGATCAATGTCTCCACTGCAGCTGTCAAAATACTTCTTTAAGTCCTGAAGATACAAGAAGTGGTCTGATATCAGTGGTGTGATCCTGAATACACACACATACATACACATACACACACATACATACACATACACATTCACACAATACACAATACATATCGTCACTCTTTGTATTGAAAAATACATTTAAGTGTACAGCAGGTTGTGTGCATACGTATGATTGATTGATTGATTGATTGATTGATTGATTGGTTACCTGATCACAATACTCGAACACCAAGGTCAGCTTCTTCTCACTGTGAAGGACATCGTGTAGTCTGGGGGGGGGGGAGACAGTTTAGAACAATTGTCATAATGTCTGTCTGCAGACTGTGTCCATTCTGATTCTCCAGAAGTTCTCTTTCTTAAAGTTAGAGGATCATTTGAGTACAACAGATATTCCTTGTAACAACAGAATTCCTTGTAAAATTTCATACTTATCCCATATTAGCCACCCACTCTTGTTGTATTAGTTAGGTTAGCCTTAAATTTACAAAAGTGTTGTTAATATGTACTAGTACTAGTAGTAGATTCCAGACTTTGTACTGTGTACCATTGAGTTTGTTTTGAAGCTTTTCTGTCATTCTCTGCAAGATTTCTGTACCTGACGATGTTCTTGTGCTTCAGCTCCTTCAGTAGACAGATCTCCCTCAGGGCAGAACTTGGAACTCCCTGTACATGGAGCAGGGAAACACATTTAAATGTAAGGAACAAAACAACAGTAACGTCTGTGTTCTACAAAATTGATGTCATACTAAGAAACAGAACTTTAACATCCCAATAATCTTCTTTAATCAGACCCCTTCCTGGGCACTTAGATATCTAATCCAGTACCCCTTTGGCGAATATCTAGCACAGACTGTATTATCCAACACAGACTCGGGACTGTCACACAAAATAATTTCATTGACCTGGCCGTGACAGTCCCGAGTCTGAGTGTTGGATAATACAGTCTGTGCTAGATATTCGCCAAAGGGGTACTGGATTAGATATCTAAGTGCCCAGGAAGGGGTCTGATTAAAGAAGATTATTGTTTGAAGCCGCAGGGGCAGTGGTTATCCACTGCGTCCAGGGCTCTATTGGTTTCTCCTTCCAACACCTGGGTGGAGTGAGGAAAGTTGTGCAAAGTGCCTTTCCCAAGTACACAAGGTCTAGTCAGGAATGCTAGGGATTGTTACCAACCGCGATAGACTGGACACCTGGCTATGCTGGTATTTGATTGACAGGAGTGATTGACAGGCGTGATGTTCTTACCTCATCATCATCGTCCAGTCGGACCCTCTTCAGAGCGACGATCTCGTGGGTCTCCTTGTTCTTGGCCTTGAACACTGTTCCGTATGTACCTGGGGGGGGGGGCAGAGTTGTTAGTGTGTACGTAGGTACTAATATTACTAAGGTAATGGCATCATGATCTGTGTACGGTCTGTTCTCTCAGGTTGGGTCAAGCGATTGCCATGGCGTTACAGCCAGCAAGTGGTAGGCAAAACAAGGTGGCAGTTTTGCTGATTTGCCTACCAATAATTTGCACAGGCTTAACGTTACCAAATTAAGTGACGTAAACATAAACAGTGATTGCTCATATATGATGGTGATGTTTGGAAATTTGAAGTGGGACAAATATGGATTATCTGAATATTGATGAGTGATTAGGTGAGTCACTAGTACATTATCCCTGTATGCTAATGTATTATCTTTGGCCTCTATTAAACTTCAAGTTTACTTTTATAATTTGATAGAAGAACAAAAGATATCCACATTCCAATAAACAATATCAACATTTTAACTGTGTGAAAAAAAGGAGAATTACGTAAAAAGAGAGAAACCTGTACTCAAAATACCTTACATTATTTGTCACCAACTGCGTTGATTATATTTCATTATTAACAAAAATCATAAACCACTTTAGTAAGTGTCAAACGCCCTTTCTTGACAATAGTCCCAGTGTTTTGAATTTGAATGTCCCTTCCAAATCTCGCATTTGCAGCCCAGTACGGCAAATCCCTTTCCAAAGACCCAGGCAGCTCGTACAGAAACCCAACACGCCCCTTGGGGTGTGAAATAATGAAATATAAATTCTTACCTTCTCCAATTTTCTCCAATTTCTCATATTTCTGCATATTTGAAGATGTCACTGCACTTTCACGCCGGGATAGCCTGATGACGTCATGGGATTAGCCGCGATGTTCTTTTATAATGCCTAGTAAATATCATCAAAACAGCAGCATATTTTAAAAATTTTCCCTTATTTTAGGACATAAAAATATAAATATTTGAGGTAAAATTACTATCATAAACAGAAGAAAGACGTTTTACGGTATTTTTAGGAATATGAAGTTTTGTAAATCCTCGAATAATTTCAGGCAGTGAAAATTATACACCGGACAGCTCCTTTGTTCGGTGTACCCAGACGCGGTGAAAGATTTCCGATTCTGTGTTGCAGAGGATGCAACAAGCGGGCATGCAGCGGGCTTTTCCCACTTCTGGATACCCTGTAAGTCTCACAAAACAATAAAGGATCCCTTAGTGCATCTGTAGAACGCGCGGGAGGGAGAGAAATTTATAAAAGTTGTTGTTTTTGTTGATCGTGAAGTCGGCATCACAACAGCGCCTTGTTGTTTTGCGCCCCCCTCCCCACCACGGCGCTTTGCGATTCCTAAATTATGATAATTTGGCGTCCCATAAGTTATGTAGAGGCACCAAAGGTGAGGAGGGGTTCGGTAGACTGTTCCCTCGGTCGGTTTTGTCGCTGTGGTTTTGATTTTGTGGTAAATTTTAGCTTCAACGTCTTGTTTAGTTTATCCCAAAGGTACCGAGCATGCGTGGTTGCAGTGTTGGGGGAGGGGGCCTGATATGTGGGGAAATTTGACTCAGAAGATGATGTTATAAGATTTTGTTCCCCGTTGGCTAGCAAAGGCTTTGTTTTGGCTTTCTCAGCAATCAGGGTACGGTGGTGAGACGGATTCCTTCCTAGATTTCCAGTGCTGAAGTTACCACGGTGTGTCCAGTGTGGGCGGGGGGCCCGCAAGCCCTTTTCCGTAGAGCGTAGACGGACCGCTCTAATATTTTTGCGTAGAGCGTATTCGGCGTTTTTGATTCTACGTAATGCGTTGTAGCCACTTGGAATTTGTCGTAAAGCGTAATCGAGAGGTTTTCGAATGCAGGCTAGAGCGTTGTCGGGACCCCCCTTGCAGGCCCTCTTGGCGGCATGGATAGTCATGAAACTTAGATAGTAGTAGTGGGTGGATAGGTCTTGATGAGACCTCAAAAGGATTAGATTTTGGGCACCATGATGGCTTGTTTTTTGTTTGTTTGTTTTAGCACCCTGGGATGCAGCGAATGTCCCAGCAGATGCTTATTTCGGCACCAGGGCTCTCCCCAAGCAAGAGTGCTCCCCCTCTCTCCAAAATCCTTGCACATCTCACAAAATGTTCAAATTTAGGGTTCTCACTGATGTTTGTTTGTTTACTCCAGCACCCTGGGATGCAGCAGATGCCACAGCGGATGTGATGTTTGTTTGTTTGTTTATTTATTGTTTATTGTTTACTCCAGCACCCTGGGATGCAGCAGATGCCACAGCGGATGCACCCGTACGGCGGCCAGATGCGGCCGGTGGGCGGGGCGGAGTCTTCGCGCTCTAAGAGGCAGGCGGCAGATTCTCGCTCTAAGCAGCAGCAAGCGGCGCAGCAGAGTCAGCGAGGGTGAGCGCCGGACACCGTAACCGGACACCGTAATGACCGGAACCGCAATGTCAACAGGGCAGGGTCACTCACATGTCAATCAAACTTGTCAATCAAACGGTTTATCTTTATCTCACTCAAAATCATTCTAAGGTCTACATGACAAGTACTGTAACATTCTCTGACTGATGTATGGTTTCCAGAACCATGTCTACTTAGTTACTTAGGATCAGACACGGTTCTGGAAAGTCTCTGCATATCCAAGAACGTAGATTTGCCCCCGGCATGGTTCTGGATACACGTGGACTATCCAGAACTGTGCCTGGGCATGATTCTGGATTTGACATCTGTGACTGACATCATCAGCAAAGACAGAAAATGTAAAACTTATGATCTTACAACAAACATCTGTTTCAGATTGTGTGATAGCTAAAGATGCTGCAGCCATGTTGGTGTCTTCATTTACATTTCAATAAATTGTAGGTCACAGTTTCTGCATTTTGTTCAAAGATTTGACGTATTTCCTTCTGTTCTTTCAGCTTCATTGAGCTCGAAAACATTCTGAATGTTTAAGTTCGAACTCACTAAGCTCTAAGAACAGAACATGTGTATTTCAAAGTTGGCCAATCAAACAACAGGATTCTGTATGCCCGTAATTCACTGATATGCAAGTAGGGACACCAACATGG